GTTGTTTTGTTTTTTCTTTTCATTTCTGCCTAATTCTAGCGCCATTGGTTTGCCATTTCAATTGGATTCAATCACTGCCCAAAAGAAAAACTACAGGAAAAAAAAGTGATAATTAATTAACACTTGATCAACATTGATGGTCATTATTTAATTTTTTTCAAAAAGAAATTGATCCATCCAAAAAGAATCGTTTTTCTGGTTAATTTTTTGTGATACAAAATAATTTGTAGCAATATTGAATAACAACAGCATATTTTTTCTGTTTTTGTTTTGTAAAATAACTCTTTTGACGATAATACTTTTGTTTTTATAAAATCTCTCTCTCTCTATATTTTTTATTTGAAAAAAATTGTCCAAAAAAAAAAAGATCAAACGTCAAACAACGATTGCAACCAAACACACACAGAGAAAATGTATTGATTTGAATCAAAATTTATTGATGTTTTGCTGGTTGGTTGGTTGGTTGGCTGGTTGATCGGTTGATTTTGATTGACAATAAACCATGGTGATCGTGTCCAAATGATCATTTGATATATTTTTTTAAACGAAATCATGTTGTTTCTTTGATAAAAATTAATGTGTGAACAAATCATCATCATCATTGCCATAATCATCAATCCAACAAAAAAACAAAAATGTCCAAATTTTATTCTTCTTTCTAAAATATTTGTAAGTAAAAAAATTTTTTCCTTTTCCAAAAAAAACGATATTTGCATTTTTTATGATTATTATTTTGATACAATGTATCATTTTGGTTTCATTGTTGTTGTTGTCAGGTAAAGTTGTTATTATATTGTTAATGGCAAGATACACACATTGATAAATCATTAATGATTTAATTTTGTTTGTTAGTTTCGACCAACTGTTTCTGTTTTTTAATCTGCTCTAATTATCCATTATCTTTTAATGATAAATTTTTGTTTTTCTGTTGTTGTTGTTGTTGAATCAATTAGCTGAGATTTTATTTATGAAAAATAATAATGAAATGTTCACAGAATGTTTAGGCATTACAGAAACAAACAAATCATTATCTATGCTCATAATGAATAATAATGATACTTTTTTTTTGGGTATCGAAAAAACACAAATTCTCATATTCTATTCATTTGTTGTTTTGCATAATTCGTTTGTGTGTTTTTGCTTTTTTGTCCTGTTTTATTTCGTAATTCCTATATTAAAAACCCGGTATTAAAATATTTTTTTTTTTGGTGTTCAAAAAACCACACGAACATTCACGCAAAGGTAAAAGAAATCAATCAATGATTGAGGGCGATATAGAGAGAGAGAGACAGTGGACGAGAGTGAGAGAGAAAAAAATCAATCAATAATCGATCGACAAATCGACTACAACAACAACAACAATAAAACTAACAACAACAACAAAATGAATCATCAAGGAAATTTACAATAAAATGAACATTTCTTACATTTGTATTTCCTTTTTCCTTTCTAGCCAAAAAAAAAATAGTCACTGTACATGAATATTTTAACCAGAATTATAATGAACAAAAGAAAACCAAAAATATTTGGGAGTATATTATATTATGATGATGATTATAATGAATGAAGATTACCGCTCGTTTATATACGACATAAAAGGCTATAATTTTCGTTATAACTTTTTTTCATTTTCTTTCACACAAATCTATGGTGCATATTTTGCATTAGTTTTTGGAGGAAAAAATAAGCAATAATGGTGGTAAAATATCAACAGAACAAAAAAGAAAAGAAAAGAAAAGAATCGTTATAAATTATCCAGGGCAGGATAGGATCAAAATCCAATTCGAATGATACAGTATATTCTCACCAATATATACATTTGCTACTTTTCTTTTCTTTTTTTTCCAAATTCGAATTCAAAATCAAATTCTAATTCGAAACAAAAACAAAACGAAGAAATTTTTTCTTCTTCATTTTCGTTTGTTGTCTGGTGTTTTTTTCGATTGTTTTCATCATTGTGATCGGAAATTTCGAAACAATATCGATCATCATCATCATCATACGGTGATTATTTCAGTTTTCAATTTAAATTGAAATTTTTTCTTTCAGTTTTTTGTTTTGTTTTCATAAGTGAGCCAATGTAAGTTTATTTTCTTTTCTTTTCTTGTTTGTTCCGCCATAAAGAATTTCTATATTTATTCTACAAAAAAATTTCTGTTGTTTGATCATTCATTCATTCTCTAAATAATCATTTATCATTTCTGTTTGAATTGAGCAAAATTGAATCAAAAACAAAACAAAACAAAACAAAAACCATCGAAAATAAAACAAAAACAAAAACATTTTTTCTTTCCGGTATACACCACGCCATCTATTGATTTCGATTGAACATAACTGAAATTCGAATCTTTTTTTTTTTGATCATTCGAACATTCGATGTCACAAATTTCTCACACAGGTGTTATGTTGATATTTTTCATTTCGTTTTGTTCAATGTTTTCAATGTTAACTAAATAATCTCTATGTGATCTTTTTTTTTTTGAGTTTTTTTCTCAATTTATTCTGGTTGATGTTGTTGTTGTTGTTATTGATTGATTCAAATTTTTTTTTCTGTTTGATCATGATGATTCATTAACCAATTGTGTATGTGTTGTTTGTATATGTTATTTCTGATGTTCATCATTCGTTTATTAAAATATCATATAAATCATGGCGTTGATTTTTGGTTGTCATGAAACAAAAAAAAACATGAAAAATGTTAACAAACAAACAAAAAAAAAGAGGAAATTTTGACATATCACAATTGTCAACAACAAATGAATGAATGAAAATGAAAATGAAAAACATTCGGGTATCATTGTTGTTAATTTGTTTTAATCGATTTTTTTTATTTGATTTGTTGCAAACTTAACGAGTACGTGCTTATGAAAATCTTTTTGTTTGTTTTGTTTGTTTTGTTATTGTATATTCGTCGAATTGGGTCATGTTCGTTGTTGAATTGATGCGACTGAAATTCTATGACAACCAAACAAGCTGTTTCTCTTTGTTAGCTAATTGATTGATTTTTAATCTATTTATATATGTTTGAAAAGAATTTTAATTTTATCTTGTTTTGCGTTTATATGAATAATGAAAAAAAAAACATCAATAATCATCATTATCATCGACAAAGTAGCGAAATTTGAATCAACAACAACAACAACAACAAATAATATCTTGATTGATTGTAATCACACGATCAAAATATTGAGATGTAGTTGTCGATTACCTGAGATAATTTTGATCAATTTTTTTTTTGTTTTTCAATCAAAACAACAAAATTCAAATTTCAAAATTTTTTAAACAAAACTGTATGTACATAATTTATGAATTTTGGTTCCCCTGATTGTTGTTTCACACAATCACATTTGATTTATTTGTTGTTTTTTCGAATTTTCGAAAAAACGAAACAAAACAAAACTTATTTTGCAACACACATATACAGTGTGACCTATATGAATACAGCGTGTTTGAACCTTTTTTTTTCCAAAAAAACTATTTTTCCGTTTCTGTTTCTCTCTTTCTTTTTGTCAAGTTTCTTTTCCAAAAAACAACAACAAAAAAAGGTAAGATTGATTTGACAATTTTTATATTTTCAAATTTTCAATTTCATTTTTATTTACATTCCCTGTTTTGTTGTTGTTATTGCACTTTCAACCAATTTTGGACCAATCAACAACAAACAAAAAAATGACCAAGAAGTAAAGTAAGTTTCGAGAAAAAACAAATTCACGTTTCTCTTTTACAAATTGATTGAATAAGTGAATATTTCCTCATCATCGAATCAATGTTTTGTTTGATCATCATCATCCATAGTTGATATAGGATCCTGTGCATCAAATTTTGTTTTTTTTTCACCAGAAAAATGTTCGTGAATTTTTTTCGTTTCGTATGATGAAAACAAACAAATCAAACCGAATATTGTACATGTATGTGTGTGTGTTTGCCATCAGTTGTGAATTATGATGATGATAATGATAATGTTGTTTGATGGTTGGTGTTGACAATTTTTTTTTGTTGTTGAAATGAAATGAAAAATTTAATTTCTACATACACATATGATGAAATGATGTTAATTATATACATTTGTCATCATCATCATCATGGCTAAAATAACAATAATAAAATAGGCCATACAATTAATGATTTTTAATTAATAAAATATCATTCAAATTACATCTATCCATCATCATCGTCATCAAATATCCATTTGCAATAAAAAAAACCAAACAAATTTCTTGTTTTGTTTTGGTTTTCATTACAAATCAATTGATTTTTTTTTGTTGAATGTAATCACATAATATTCATTCAATCATCATCGTTGTCATCATCATCCAATCATCTAATTTAATTACCATAGCCATCATTCTGATTAATCATAACCAAGAAAAAAACATATAAATGCAGTAATATGCGGAATTATTATTATTATTTTTTGGATGTGATGTGACCTTGTGTCGATTGATGGATTGTTAAGATTAACATTGATCATTTGAATGATTGTTGCTATTGTAATAATTTTGATATAAATAATTTTTTTACATTCTCTATTTTGTGATCACATAAAGTAAAAAACGGAAAAAAAGTACGTTACAATTTTTATGTTTGTTAAAAAAAGTCAACCCCTTCCCCCCCAAATTGTAATCTCTCATATCGATTCGATGACAATTGTTTATGGTGGCATTTTTTTTTTTTTTTGTTTTTCGGTTGTAATAAACAACATCATAAATCCACCAATATTTGATACACATCAGAATGTGACAATGTTATTTATCCCTTATCTTTATGGGACATTTTGTTGTTGTTGGTGTTAAATCCTATGGCTTTAGGATTTTTTGTTTTATCAAAATCGAAAGCAATCATTTAATTCTGATTCATTCAATGATGATGATATCCATACGAATTTCCTGAAAATACTTACAGGAAAATTGATAACAAACAAACAAGCAAAAAAATTTTATCTTTCATTCAATAATCCAGTGGGATATTGATTATTATCTTACATTCTTTTGAGATTTTTTGTGCTGTCTGTGTGTGTGGGTATGTCAAAAAAAGAAAAGAAAGGTGTTTACATTATTGCCATGTTTACACAAAAAAAAAAAAATTATCGCAATCAATATTTGTCGATCACATTTGAAATTTTCACTTTTTTTTTTGGTTACAAAAAAATATAAATCAATCGATGGTGTAACGATTTTGTTCGTTAAATTTTTTTTTTCGATTGATTGACTGATTTTTGATTGAAAATTTTATTTTAATATTTGAATTTCTTTTTCTTTTCTTTTTTTCTCGTTTGACATTTTAGATATTTTTTTTCGGTGAAAATTGTTGAATTTTCTGATCACATCAATCACACACATTGATCATGTCAACAACGACATTAAAATTGGAACAACAAAAACAACAATCACAAGAAAATAATCATAGTGATATAAATTATTTAAGTCATGTTATAACATTAACCGATCAAATTTCTGAACCAGCACGTGATTGGATACAATTTATATTTGATAAATATGATTCAAATTTTGATCAAACATCAATCACTTCGCAAATAATTTCGGCAATGATTTTAACGATGGGTTGTTTTTGGTTAATCGGTTCATTATATACATTACTTGATTATTTTCAAAGGCCAAAATTTTTATATCGTTATAAAATACAAGATAATGAACAAGTATGTTGTTGTTATTTGAATTGAATTGAATGAAATTTATTATTTTTATTTATTTGGTTTTTCCCCAAAAATAGATCACCTTGGATGATATAATTGAAACGGCCAAAGTAGCCTTTTGGAATCAGATCACTGTACAATTATTAACAACAACCATAGCATTTAATCTAATGAATTATCTTCCATTTGATAAAAATTATCGTGTGCCTCCCGTATCGACAATCATCTATAATCTGGTTGTTTTTATATTTTTACAGGAGATTGCTTTTTACTACTTACATCGTTTACTTCATCATAAAATATTTTATCGTTATGTTCATAAAATTCATCATAAATGGCAAGCACCAATTTCAATATCGGCATTATATTGTCATCCATTTGAACATTTTTTAGCCAATCTTGTGCCTGTATTAATTGGACCATTTGTAATGGGTAGTCATCGTAGTACAATTTCAATATGGTTATTAATTGTTCATATTGTTACATTAAATGATCATTCGGGTTATCATTTTCCATTGATGCCATCACCAGAATTTCATGATTATCACCATTTAATGTAAATTAATTTCAATAGCAAATCAATCAATAATTCTGATTCATTATTTTTGTTTTTCTAACCAAACAGGTTCAATCAAAATTTTGGTCGTATGGGATTTTTAGATTATTTTCATGGAACAAGTGAACGTTATTTTAAATCTAAATATTCAAAACGACATCAAGTATTGTTAAGTTTAACACCGATGAAAATATTGATACCGGATAATGATTAATTGATTGATTGAATCAATTAATCTTGACACGCACACCAACACCCTCCAAAAAAAACAAACCAACAATGTGTTATTTGTAATTGAATCGATTAATTAATTATTTTTTTTCTATATATAAAACAAAATAGAAATCAATATTTGTGTATTGTTAAAAAAATTGTTGTTTTTGTTGTTGTTACACACATTATACCAACTGTTAAACATTATTTATCCACAGAATTACATTATCGATTTGTTTTTTTTTGTTGTTGTTTTTTTTCTATTTAAATATCTAATTCAGCAAGACAAACAAAAAACGAAAGGTTTCTTCCTTGATGACATTAACACAAACAAACAAACATAGCCACACGAAAATTTTCTCCAAAGATTTGATATTTATAATCAACAAATTAAAGTATTTTTCACATGAATATTTTTTTCTTTTTTTTCGAATAAATAATGATGATAATAAAGATTTATTCAATTGAAAAACAACAACAACTTGTTGCTAGGCTCATCATTGAAAAATTTACGATGGGGAAAAAAATCAATTATTTATCAACAATTCGATGGTCATCTTTTCAATGATTCATTTTCATTCATTCAATCAATCAATGATGATGACAATTCCGAATAAATCCAATCATTGATGATAATCAAAAAATTATTCACAAAAGTTTAATCAAGGATTGAATTATATTTTTTGGATAATGATAAAACGATGAATGAATGAATGTTAAATGTCAAAATTTTCAATCAAAATGAAAATGATGATCATCAACATTATTATTTCTCTTTTTTATTTCTCAAACATTAAATGATACCGTACAATACATATATCATTTAAGAAATTTAAAGAAATTAGAAAAAACTTTTTAAAAAAACTACCGTAAAACGAATAAACAATGATTCAGGGACATGCTAAACATCAGATAATTGATTTTTAGTCCTTGATAATATGCTCGAAGGGGATAGGGGGAGAGTGAGAGTGTTAAAAATTTGTTGGTCGAAACTGTAAGAAGGAGGATGGTAAAACACACAGGTTTTTCTTTTTTCACTGCAATCGATAAAATCAATAATGATCAACATTAATGTGTTGTTATTGTTGTTGACGTTTTACAACTGCAACGAGATTCGTTTAACCAAAAAAAAAAAATTTCTTTTCAACAAATAAAAACCATAAGCTTAACAAGTCAACCATCCATTTATTTAGTCAGTCATCATGATGATCAAATCATTCAACTGTTCAATTTTCTGTTTTTGTTTGTTTGTGGTGATCATTTTGAATGTTTGCGATGCTTTATTCAATCCAACGGATTTTGGACGAATAGTTGATCATCCACATCGAGATGGTTCAAAATCGAAACAAATTATTTTGAATAATGGTCGTTGTTTACCTATGGTTGCATTTGGTACATGGCAATTAGGTAATGATACAGTAGTGAAACGTGCTATAAAATCAGCTGTAACATCCGGTTATCGATTAATCGATACAGCCGATATTTATGGTAATGAAAAAATGATTGGCGATATTTTACAAGAAATATTCAATGAAGGAATTATAAATCGTGATGATATATTTATAACGACAAAAGTTTGGTGTAATCATTTTTCTAAACCAAGTGTTATCAAAAGTATTCGACGATCAATGCAGCGATTAAAAGTTTCATATTTGGATTTAGTATTACTTCATTATCCAACTGGTTTCAAAGAAATTGTTGGTGATAAATATCCAAAATTTAAAAATGGTTCAATTATACCAAGAACATGGCAAAAAGATTCCTATACAGAAACATGGGAATCAATGGAAGAAGCTGTACGAAAAAATTATACACGTTCAATTGGTGTATCGAATTTTAATCGTGCACAGATAAAAACATTATTGAAAAAAGCAACAATTAAACCGGTACTTAATCAGGTAATGATATTAATTTCATAAATAATATTAACTACTAACCTAACCAGAAAACATTAAATTCTCCAAAACCGAAAAAATTAGGTTGAATCTCATCCAAATTTGAAACAATCATTATTATTAAAATATCTAATGGACGAACAAATATTAATGCAAGCTTATGCACCAATACGAAAAGCTGATAAAGAATTATTAAATAATCCAATATTAATGGCAATTGGCGAAAATCATAATAAAAGTAGTGCACATATAGCATTACGTTGGCAATTACAACGTTCAGTACCTATTGTTGTAAAAAGTTCAAATCCAAAACGTATAAAATCAAATTTACAATTATTTGATTTTGAATTAAATGATGATGAAATGAAACAAATCGAAACGATTGAAGAAAAATCCCGTATCTATGATATTGATGGTCTTACAAATCATCCTGATTATCCATTCAATGAAGAATAAACAAAATGTTTTTTATTAAATAAATATTTACATAGACAGCTAAAATCAAGAATTAATTAACCAAGTTTAATCCAATTTTTTCGGATCAATTTTTCAAATTGTTTATGATGGTAATTGTTATCATTATAATCCATTTGTTATTTGAAAACAAAAAAAAAATTTTCTATTCTTTGATTATGATTTACTACTATCATATCCCCCCCAAAAAAAAAGACATTAAAAGCAATTATGATCATCATCATTATTATTCACGTAATCTTTAATCTTTAAATTTTCTACATTTTCATTTATATACGTTTTATTAACGTTTATTTTCCCTTGCTATTTTGAATGATATTTCTCGGGTATTTCATGGTCAATGTTATGAATATTCAAACCAAAAAAAAACTTCATAAACAGGAAAAAAAATTGGGCTGTGCGCAATAATTTTACTTTAATCAAATTTATTTCATATTTCATCATCATCATCATCATTCATATAGGGCAAGGGGAAAAAAATGGGAAAAAAATGTATGGATAATGACAGACAGAATATTCTGTCTGACACACAAAAAAAAACCAACGACCAAAGAAAAAAAAAAATCAAACTAATTTGTGAACAAAATAGTGGTCCATTTTTTTTTGCTGGTTGGTTTCACTATCTATCCCGGCTATCTTTCATTCATTCTATCTTTTCTCTCTTGACATAATGTATCGTCAAATAAGAGAATAGATCTAAATTCATCATTCGTTATTATTCATTGCGTGATATCCATATTGAATTAGTATATAATGTATGTGTGTTTATGTGAAAACTTCAAAACACAAAACAAAAAACCACAAAATTACATATATAAAACTAATATAGAATAATTTTTCTTTCATATGTCCATAATAAATGTGTGTGTGTGTGTGTGTGTGTGTGTGCAAGCAATTCATGATAATTTTTTATAATAAGAATAAAGGGGGAAGAGAAAAATACCTGGCTACTCAGCAGCTATTATCAAATGAATCGTTTCTAGAATATATGTGAAACAAACATAGAAAAAAACATGGAAAACAAAAGTTGATCCAATACTGTCCGATCATTGTGTCATGATCATCAGTAGTTGTATTATTCTTTTTTTTCTAATAATAATACCATATATTCTCTATGACAAGGTGTGTGTGTGTTGTGGCACACACACACACACACACATTAATTATAATGCAAACTTTTTTTATTTTGCACCAAAAGAGTATGTTTGGTAATATTTTATTAGTGGATATAGTCACTATCTTTTTTTTCATTTATTGAATTGAAAATGAATATAATCGAATAATAAAAGAATCGTAGGAGGACAAATACACACTATGCACACACACACATAGACTAATAACAAGAACAAAAAGGAAAATCGCAAGGATAACAGGAAACTTTTTTTTTGTTATTTTTAGTACGACCGAGATCAGTTATGATCCGTTTAGTTTTTTTTTTGTGTATGATGAATGATTATGAACATTTTGTTTGGCTATTTTTAATGAAATAGTTTACAAATCATCGAATAAAAGTTGATTTTTTGTTAATAATTTTATTATTTACCAAAAAAAAAATAATGTCATATTGTGCTGTTTATTTGAATCGAATTCATCGTGAAAAAAATTTACCGGAAAAACCGGAAGATCCATTGATTCTAGAAAAATCAATACCACATGATGGTGAATTTACATTTGTTGATTTTGTTCCATCTGTATTAACATATTCATCCAGTGCACATGAAGTTAAATATCATCAATTTAGGTAATTTTTTTTTTCGTTTTGCATATGACATATTTCTTAATCAATTTCATATATTTGGATAGTCATCTGATTGATACAGCCAACGCATGGATAGCAAAAAATTTACAATGGAATATAATCAATTGTGAAACAGTACGTTTATCATATCGACATAATGTTACATCGATGGTTAGCCGTTGGGAACAACAAATTAATCCGGTTACACCATTATTAAGTCCAATATCTCGTGGTGAATTTGAAACATCGTTGAAGGCGTTTCGGTAAGCCAAGAAAAAAAAATGACCAAAAAAAAAATTCTTCAATTTCAATGTTTTTTTTTTGATTTCAGATTATGGATACGACGAAAAGATCAAATCGATAATGATTTTTATAATGATGATATAATGTTTAATAATAAATTTCGACGGATAAAATATCTGGATTTTATACCAAAACGTTTGAATGAAAATTCATTTGAAACAATTGATCAATTATTGGAAAGAATTAATATACGTTTAAAACAACCGGATACTATATTTTGGAATATAATTACATTAGAATCATTAAAAATTGAAGCTAATAGTGAATGGTTTATTGATCCGGAAATTAGTTTAGTTGATGAAAGTTCAAGACATTTAACTATACTTCGATTATTTTATGAAGAATATACAAATACTGGTGATATGAATGTAACAATATTTGAAGAAAATGATGATTATACATATACAGTAATTGGAATTGAAGATTTTAAACCTGAACTTATTTCAGCTGGTAGTTTTTTTAAACGACCAAAATTTGAACGATTTTGTTCATTAACACAACGTGCAAGTCGTTGGTTAAATAGTCATTATGTGGATTATTTTCTAAATGCACAATCGATTGATATTAAAATCAAATCTGGTAAGTTTTTTTTGTTTTGTTTATGGGATCAATCAGTGATCAATAAAATGTTTCAAATAAAACTTTTATTATAGCATCAAAATTGGAAACAAGAAATTGTACAAACATTGAACATGGTCATTATATACAATTTTTACGTATAGTTTATTGTAAATTATTACCTAGAATAAATAATGATTTACCAACAATACAACGGCCAAAATCATGTGAACCAACAACAACAACAACATTGAATCAACAATTAGATATTATACAGCTTTGTTCAAAAGTTTTTGTTGCAACAAAACTTGATCATCCATTAGATTCAATGCAACAAAGAATTTATAATTGGCTACGATTGGATAATAATCATAATGTATGTATACTTGGTGCTGAAACAATAAATGTTTATGGTAAAGATGATGATGAAAAAGTATTGGAAAAGAAAACATATGAAAGTTTTTATGGTAATCGTCTTGGTTCATTAAATACATATACATTTAAAGCAATACGATTATATTATTGTCAAATACCAACTGGTGATGATTTAATTGAAAATCGATCGAAATATTATCGTAAGGATACGACATTTCCAAGAAAAAAATCTAAAAATTTTTCCTCATCCAACACCAATGATAACAATGATAATCGAAATAAATCATTACAACGTAAAAATAGTAGATTAAAAATTTTTCATTCAAATTCATTTGGTATGAATGAACAACGATCACCAACAACAACAACAACAACAACAACAAAAGTAAATAGAAAATTAGATGATAAAGAATCGACAATAGGTTTTTTAAAAAGTTTACGAAGATCACAAAGTCAAATAGAAAATCATACAAAATCATGTAATTGTATGTAAAACATACAATAAAATCATTTGATTAATCAATTGTATATTCTGGAATTTAAAAAATGGAACAATAATAATAAAGAACAATCAAATCAAAAATTAATATTGTTGTTTTTTAATTTAAATACACTTTTCATTCAATCATTTATTAATGTCGATTATTATTATAATATAAAATTTTCGTCATTTCATTTTATTTTATTTCTATCAAATGTTTTTGATTTATTTGTTATTTTTGATAACCACAATGAATTTATTTGATAGTTCGGTATGTTACTGATAATGATGATGATGTTATTGTTCATTTTAAAAATTATTATAATTATAAATTTAAACCTGTGTTATCTCTCTTTATTTACATTTTGATTAATAGATGATGATTAAATCGATTCATTGTCAATTTGTATTGCTTACAGAATATCATTCATTGAATTTAACATGTGATATTTTTTTAAATCATCATCCAACAAATATAATTGTTAATTGGTATAAAGATCAACAATTAATTATTGATTCACAAACAAAAAATTATAATCAATCAAAATTTCATTTAGATTATAATCAAAAAAATTCACAATATATATTGACAATATTAAAAGCAAATCCGGAAGATGTTGGTAATTATGAATGTCGTCAAATATCCATTGATAATCATACAACACAAATATTGCATTTACATCGTTTTGCTGTAAGAGCTAAACCTAGAATACGATCCGAATTTGGTCGAAATATTATATCAGAAAAAATTTGGGCAAATGATGAATGGACAATAAAATGTTCATTTCTATCAAAATATCATCAACTTAATTCTACATTGGAAATTGTTCGTTTTGAAAATAATAATAATAATAATGATTATATTCGTGATCATATTTCACATATTAATCCTGATATGCAAATGAAAAATTTTACTAAAAATTGGTTAGAACAAAATTCGCATCGTATTCGTATTCGAATGTATAATGATATTAGCGAACAATTTAATAATCAAAGTGTAATTGAAATGACTATAACAAAAGTTGATTTTAAAGATCGTGGTTATATTGCTTGTTATGGTATTAATCCAATTGCTAATGATCATTTATTAATATTTTTAAGAGTTAAAGATAGAATACAAATTTTATGGCCTATTATTGTTATTGTTACATTTTCATTATATCTATTTGCTATAATCACAATATATGAATATCGTCGTATTAGTCCATTTAATCTATTACAATTAGATTGGGACAGTACATAAATACAATAACCAAAAAAAATATTCTTTTTGTTTTGTTTGAATTCTTTAATTCGATTGTGTGTGTGTGTGTGTGTGAATAAATTATGAAACTCCATATGTCCATCTCACTTTGGTTGGTGGGTTTTTTTTAATATTTGGTTTTTTTTCTTTTTTTGGTTGTGTTTGTCACGCAATTTTGCTTTTTTTTTTGACTAAACAAGAGAGGTAGTGGAATTTATGGATCCAAAAGGATCCAACTATATGAATCATCATCAATAATCATTGAAAAGAATCGGTAGCGCATGTTCCAAATAGAACCGAAAGCGACGGTATCTTTTTTGAGCAATATTTGTGAAATAATTGATAACACAAAAGCAAAGAAAGAAAGAAAGAAAAAAACGGTTAAGTTACCAGTTTTTTGTTTTCATTTAATCATCATTGTAAGATGTTTTTTTAATTGCAAAAAAAAAAAAAAATGATACCAGAAATCGTTATCAATGCAATAACTTTGTGCATGTGGTGGTGTTATCACTAAAATAATACTATTTGGTGATATCATTTTTTTTCTTCTCCCATTTGGGTATTGTATTAGCATCAATGTCAGATTCAATAATCAAATCGATGCTTGTTTCCAATATTTGATGTTGGATATTATTATTATTATCTTGTGTGTTGTTGTTTGTATATTTCATCGTGAATGATAACAAAGTTTGATGATTATAATGTATAATCAGGCAAAAGTTCGTGTCCTCATAACATGGATTTTGACAATGTATTTTGTTAATATTACCAATGCTTTTGATCAGTTATTTAATCTAATCAATAAACCAATTCAACCTACAGGTAATTTGATTATTTGTAATAATATTTGTAATAATTTCTTTCTTAAACATTAATTTTCAATTAGAACCAAGTTTTGGAGCGGAAATTAATATTGGTTCGGTAGAAATCAATGATTCAAAATGTGACAAAGCAATTACACCGTATTTACAGGAATGTAAAGACATCTATCATGAAAAACTAACAAATGTAGCATTAGAATTTGGCAATAATTTTCAAACTGAATCAGTAAAAAAAATTTCTTGTTGTGGTGTTTGGGAAGCAAAACAATGTGCAATCAATGCCGCTAATAAACTAAAAGAATGTGGCCATAATATTAGTTCACTATATGAAAGTTTGCCTTCCGATCCAATGATACGTGCCGATGTTTTTGATAGATGTTCGGAATATCGAGAAAATTCTGCCATTTGTAAACCACATATATCAAGTTCTATGTTCAGTTTACATTCATTGGTATATTTTATTGTGATAACCCTGTCCATAATGGCTTGTGTATTAATTGTATTCAAAGTAGTAAATAAACAGTAAGTACACATGTATTAAGCTTTTTGTTACACATTTGCTTTCCAATCATCGCTAAGAAACTATCATAGAATTTTGAGATAAGGTCGAAAATATCAATGATGTTTTGTTTTTCCAATGGCATATTTTATACACACACAAAAAAAAACGCTTTTAATCTATCAAATCCCAGGAAAAAAAATAATTTTATTTTTAACTCATTTTTTTATAATAATCATCTTTAAACAACAACAACAAAAATCTCTCAGGCGGCAATACAATAGAAGATCAAACGAATCATACGATCATGTTACCAAAGAAGATAATTATACTAAAGATGATATCGAAAGTAATGATAATGACGAAAATCAATAAATAAAAAAAAATTGATAAATTCTCAACAACATTACAACAAAAAACACCGGTGAATTATTGTTTTTGCTGTTGTTTTTTTTTCATTATAATTTACTATTGTGCATTTTTTTTGATGAATTTTTCATTTTATTTAAAAAATAAAATTTTGATTTTTTAAAACGTTATTTTTTTTTTCTTTCAGGAATGAATTTATTTTCAGAAAAAAATGATGTAAGGAATTTTTCAAAAAAAATTATCAAAATTTGTTAAAATTATTATTATGCAGCACAGATAGATCAAAAGAAAGGAAAATGAAAATGAAAATCATATAACAAAAAAAAAACAAACAAACAAAAAAGAATTAAGAAAAATGAAATAAATACAATAAATAAAATCACAGAAATAAAAAATAATTTGGATTTTTTTTGGGGGAGGGAGATGGGGGTTATTTGGAATTAAGGATGATGCTATAACATGATCATGGTTGATGATGAATTTGAACAAACAACAATAATATGGCTTTTTTGAAAAAATATTGTTCTGTTGGAAATATTAAGTTATGAGTATATATGGCAATCAATTTTTCTTTGTTTCTTTTTTTAGTTTTGGTTTGAAATCACGATATTTCGAGGGTATACGATTGATAGATTTGGTTAAATGCATTTTATAATGAAGATAATTCATCAGCCGAACAGGATAATGTTGCAAGATTATCTTCGCTATCGGCATTGATTGAAAATAAATCTGAATATGAATCAATCATAATCTGAACAAAATTCATCAAATGTGGTCGTTTTTGTTCAAATAGATCCATATTGGTGAATTCAAATTGCAATAATGTTGGCCACCAACAAATGGCCAGATTTTTACTGTCCATACTATTTTCTGAACTTTTTTCAGTAATTCTAAATACAAAAAATAAAATTATACAGTTTAGATAAATTCCGGACATCTTGACAAAAAAAAACTTACTTGACAAAATGTGAGATCATATGTTTAAGAATTTCAAAATTCGAATTTGGTAATTCACGTATAAAAGTGCGCATTTCAGATAATTGACCAGCATCAGTGTATTGTTTAGCTAGATTGGCAATATTAGTCATAGAATCGGATGGAAAAATCGGTGGCAAACGTTTAAGGAAAAAATCTTTCAATGCTGTCGCAACGGCATTGACCGGAATGTCTAGCTCAGCAATATTTATGTCGGGATCTAGAATTACAAATTGAAATTATTTAAAAAAACACACACACACACACAATATATTATTATATTGAAAAATACTTACTTTCATCAAATTTCAGTAAAAGTGTATCAACATGAGCTCGATTGCCTGGAACTCGATAGATTCCTTCCATATCTAAACCTTCTTGTTCAATAAATAATGTACATTTTTCAATAAACAATGGTACTGGATTGCCATTTGGTTGAGCAAAATCTTCCAATGATGAATGTGTTCCTTTTGATCGGCTTCGATTACGGCTTGAATTTTCTTTTGAACTTTTACGTTGTTTTCGTTCTTCTTCTTTCATTCTTTTCTTTTCCATTTTTTCTGCTTTTCGCATGGATTTTTTATCAAGCTCAGGAAATGTACCGATCGATTTACTTTTAAGAAATTTTGCCTTTTCACCATTGCTATTATTATTATTTCCACTTGCTTTTGATGCTAACCAAATAGAAAAATAAATAAATTGAAAAAAAATCAGAATCAATCAAATTCACAAGATGAAAAACAAAATATTTCATAATAAATGAATCATTCCAAATCAAAATTAAAAAATAAACGAAAACAAAACACTTCATGCAAACCAAATGTGAAACGGTCATTCCATGGAAAAATTCGATTATCTTACCAGCAATTGCGGCAGCAGCAGTAGGATTAATACTATGACTAACACTTGTATCTTCCGAAGCAGCATCAATACTATTATCATCAATACTGATACCAGATTCATTATCAGCAGGTAATGAAAATAATTTTGAAAATTGATGCCAACGTGTTCGTCGTAATTCACCAGAATCCATACCGGTCTTATTTTCATTATCATTGCCATTAGTATCGAATATATCTTGATTGTTGATGCTGCTGTTGACCGTTGTTGTATTAAGTGATTTATCATTGATTGAATCATCATATGAACTAAACGATGTAAATGATTTACCAACACCAGAACTGGTTGGTGTTACAGCATTCGAACTGTTTGCACTTGATGGTAGTCTTGGTGGTGCAACCGGTACCGGTGTAATTCGTCGAGATTTTTTATTCTGTGTATTTTTACTATTATTTGAACTATTCTGTCTTAATTGGCCAATTGTACTTGGCTGTTTTAAGCTATTGAATTTAATTCGTTCATTTAGAATTGAAATTTCTGATGTTTGTTGATCATTATTTGTTAAAATATTTGTCGAATCACTAACTTCACTTTCAGAATCATTATCTAATTTTTACATATTTTACATAAATTATACATAATTGAATAGTCAGCGAAAAAAAATAGAGAATGAAGAGAAAATAATATATTGAATTAAATTAAAATAAATTACCTTTAGTAGATGATGAATGTTTGATTGGAATTCGTTCACGTTTATTTAAATGAATTTTTGAATCATCAAATATAGCCGATTTCTGCGATGTAATGTATACATTTACATTATCAAATGGATTGTTAAATCTATCTGTATTAGTGATTACCGATATATCATCAAATGTTGAATGAGTTGATCTAGTTGGTCCCAAGGGTGAATGTAAATTTAAACGACCAATTGCATTGGAAAGATTGTTATATTTTTTAATATCAATTTTACCCGGAGCCTGCAACAAACAAACAACAACAAAAATCTCATGGGATTAATACAAGAAAAAAAACAAAAAACAATTTTCAATTTTAAAATACCTTTGATCGTTCATTAGATGATGTATTTTCATCATTAATGATAGGAGGTTGTATAATCGCTGCTGCTGCTGCTGCTAATGATGAAGATGTTGTTGTTGGTGGCCATTGATCGGGTAATCGATTATGATTAGAACCTAAAACAGTAGTAGGTGATCGGCTATTATTTTGTTTTTGGTGATAAGCCCAACCCGATATAACGGCATATTTATCTGCTGTTGCATTTAAATTTTCATCAGCTATTTAATAAAAAAATTAAGATTCAAAATGAAAAAAATTAGAATTTTTTCTGAAAGAAAATGATAAAAAAAATCAAAGTCATAGGACAAAAACTACTGGAAAGCAAAGGAATATAGCATAGCTATCACAACTAAAAGTTATATATGGCGTTCTCGAATGTAAGGCATAAAAATGGATATTGTAAAAGTTTTGGATTGGCAGAATCAAGGAATGAATGAATGAAAGCAATCGAATATTATAATACCACTCGTATCGGATGAAACACATGATTCTTCATCTTCATCCACAACAATATCATCTTCATCATCATCATCATTATTATTACTATTAGAAACATTAGCAGCATTTTTATTTGTTTCCGATTCATAATTATCATTTTTAGTATGATCATCGAATGAATTTATATTTTCACTACTTTTTGATTTAATATTTTTATCATTCTTATGATTTGATTTTGGATCAATATCTTGAAATTTTGATACACGATTCAATGATTGTTCATCGTTTTTTCGATTTCTATTTTTCGATCTATTTAATATTGATCGTGATTTATCTTTACTATTATCGAATATAAATTTTGATGATTGATGATGTCCATTGTCATTATTATTGCCATCATAATCATTATTATCATTATCATCATCATCTTCTTCATCTTGTTCATTGGCAATAGCCATTTTATGTGACAATGATGATGATCGTGTTTTGAATGAATGTTTCTTTTTCTTTTTTTTGTTCTGTGATTTTGAATGAAGTGAAATTCGTTCCTCTTCCATATATGGTGATAATTCGGATGATGTTGTCGATTGAAATGCTGATCTATTTCTGAGAATATTTTTCTGATGATTATTTGAATGAAAATGAGGTGAACGAAAAATTTGTTGCTGTGATGGATGAAAATGATGGCCAGTTGTAGCGTAAATTAATGGTGAATTTCTTGAATGAACATTGGATATGATTGAATGAGCAGCTATAGAATGTTTGTTATTAAAATTTGTACCAAATGATGATGATAATAATGATGATGATGGTTGATGATGATTTTGAAATGTTGAATATAATTCATGATGTAATTGTTGTTGCTGTTGCGATAATATTGGATAATATTTTCTTTGATAATATGCTAATGTATTCGGTTCTAATGATGGTTCTTGTTCGTTATGATGTTGATGATGATTATGATAATAATTTGAATATAATTGATGATCAGAATCAGGATTCATTTCCAATTGATAATTCTGTTGTTGATTGGAATGCATTCTATATGCCGGAGGTGGTGAAATTGCTACACGTGAATAAGGTGGTGGATTATGATGATATTGATCATTTGAAGAATTTGTTGGTATCATAACATGTGCCGATGATGCTGGACGTGGTGGTAATTGATCGATAGAAGAATCAATAAAATTACTATGTCCTTCACTAGCAATCATATGACTTCGTTGAACTGATGGACGATAAACAAAATGTGCTGGTAATTGTGTTGTATGTGTCATTATGTCATCATCATTGTCATTACCAACATTATGTTGTTGTTGTTGATGATGATGATGAATATTACTATCATCATAATAATTTGAATGAAAATGTGAATCTAATGCATAAAGTCTATCTAATGAATCAGCACTTGGATATGATTGTAAATTATAGTCTTGTTTGATTTTTAGTTTGAACATTATCATTCAACCCAAAATTCAATCCAATTGTATGAAATGAAAACAAAAAAAATAGTGACAAAAAATTGACACGAAAAAAATAGGAAATTATAGTGTTTGAAGTTGATAGAAAAAAAGAAAGAAAGAAGAGAAATAAGAAAAGAAAAAAAAGACAAGAATAGTAAAGATAGAATATAAAATGACAAAAAATAATGATATAAAGTAAAATCATTAAGTAAGTGATTTTTTTTCTAATAATTTTTCTAAGATAATGATAATAAATAGCGAGAAAAAAAATTGTCACCAAGTTTTTTTTATCATTACTTACAATTGTGATTGTTATTATTCAAATGTTGTTGTTGTTGTTTTCTTTGTCGAATCATTTCGGATGGTTTCAATAAATGTTCACCCGTTGTTGCTGTTCTTGGTTCATTTGAATTGAAAATTGGATTGAAAAAATGTTGTGCATTTCTCATATCGGATACAGCTACTGCTGCAGATGATGATGAATCTAAAATATCTTCTGGTGAATATCTTTTATGTCTTTGATGTCCAACTAGAAATGATGATGGAAATTCATTTGAATGTTGTTTATTTGTTGATGATGATTGTTGATGAATTTTCGACAATTGTTGTTGATCTTCAGGTAATTTTTCATAAATACTATCTGATAATAATTTTGATGGAGATTCACAATGATCATTAATATGTGCTTGTTGTTGAAGTATTGATTCAAAATTAGCATCATTAGGATCGGTGCCAATAAAACAATCATCGATTGTTTGTGGATCGAATTGATTTTCAATTCCAACAACATTAGAAGAAGCTGTTGCAATTTGAAGATTCTTTTCAATAAGATGTTTATTTTGTAGACAATAATTAAGAAATGATGAAATACATTTTCCCATTTCGGAACCAAGTGTTGATATTCGAAAATGTGCCTGAAAAAAACCAAAAACCATTAATCATTGGAAAATGAATTTTTTTAAAAAAAGTAAAATGAAATAGATTTTACCTGTAATTGATCGGCCAATTCTTTTCCTTTGGCAACTAATTGATGTGAAAGTTTACTAGGTCGAAGTTCATTTTCAACTAATGCTAAAATATGTATGGGCATTAATGATGCTGTTATAGATGCCAATGCTGACATATTTGCAAATGAAGCTTGCCGCTTTGACCAATAGACTAGAATATTTCCATAAAACAATTCTTCTTTGATTGTATATGAACTATGATAAGAAGTAACGACAAATTCAACATAGCAACTAGCTATTTCACGTTGTTGTTGTGAATTATTCAATGATAGACTATCATTATTTTCATCATCAATCGATAATAGAAAACCAATATCGGTAACAAATGAATGATCGGATACTGGATAGAAATTTAAATTAGTTAAACTATCCATAAGAATCAATGATTCAAGAAAACGAGCAGGCGATAATGGATCACCACACATTAACGATATAAGTATTCGAATTTCAGGATTCAAGGCACCTTCAGGAATAGAATGATTTGTTGCCAACGAATTATTTGGTCCACCAAATACATTGGTCATTTCGGCACGACGTATTAATGATTCACTTAAGAAAATTAATGCCCGTAACAATTCATCCGATTTGAATCTTGCATGTGGCTCATTACTGGTGACATCAAAAAATGCACATTGTAAACATTGAGCACGATTTGTACCTTCTTCACGAAGATAGTTTCTTTCTTTAGCCGATGTATCAGGCGTACAAGCCAATAAAAGTACCAAAGGAAGACCATTCGGATGAAGGCTACCATATTGCAAATCGGCCAACAGGGAATGTTCTAATGTTTTTAATAAATATTCTAATGATGTACGTGAAGAATAGACACAAAGATATGCTTCTGATTGTAATGGATTGGCAAATGGGCGAATAGGAAACATGCCTAATGATTCATTACTAGGCAATGTTTCCATTTCATAATGAATTCGAGGGTTTTCCTGTTCAAGTGAAGGACACATTGCCTATGTTATATGAAAGAAAGAAAGAAAAAAATACAAATTGAATTCATTACCGTGAAAATGAAAATCAAATGGCAATTCATTATGATTGAATAATTTACCTTGACCACAGTAGCTAAATTATCAGCATATGCCGACAAACCAAGTACAATAAATTTGATTTGTATCTTTTCCAGATCATGATTCCAAAGTGGATTTCGAGTATTACGTTTGGCCAACGAAGCATGATATGCTTCAATATTTAAATCAACACAAGTTTGTCCAGCCGAACAATGTTCTTTAATTGGCCATTGAAGAAAGCCTAGATGTCTTATTAATGCTAATTGACGATCTTGTGGAATTAGATCCAATGTTAGCCATCGATCATCTTTAGATAGTTCATGTGAAATAGCAGCCAAATCTTCTTGAGTTAAAGTTTTACCGGTAGAGAATTGTAAAAATAATGATGCTCTTTCAAGAAATAATTCATTCAATTGATCACGAGCATCTTGTTGAAGTATTTTTTGATATTCATCATAGATTAATTTGAGCTCTGATTCCGGTAATGATTCTACACATTCTCGACCTTTCAATTGATCACGAATTTCACGAAGAGGTTGCCCAGGTACCACTGATGTTTCCCGTAGTAATTCACTGAATTGATAACGAAGACTACGAAGATGATCTTCGGCCATTAATGTTTTCAAATGATCTAGATAGGATTTTTCTGCTTCAGGAGTTTGTAACAAATCAAATGGGATACGTGTTTCATTTGTATCATCCATTTCTTGCCATGAAAGACTTTCATTGAGCACAAAATTACTATCAAACAATGGATGTTGATGAAGAATTTGTTGTACAGCTGGCCAGCTACGATCATGACCAAAACTTTCTAAATCAGGCAACATTTCGCTAAATATTTTTGGTAAACGTCGTAAATACATGTCAATCTTTCGGCAAACATATTCATCTTTAAGTTTTTTAACATGTCGTTTAAATGTTTGTTGAGCACTTTCCTGACCAAATAAATCACAATAAGTAATAAAATCTTGACTTTGCGATAGATTTGAATAAGTATTGTTCCAATGGCTACGATAATCAGTTATATTTGATTTGATTAATGTTAAATAGGCATCATTAACAATCACAAGCTTATCTTGTTGTCTTTGAAATGCTTCATGATATGATAGAATTTTTGTTTTGCCTTTTGTCCAATCACGTTGTACACAGGCCCAAAAAGCTAAATCAATATTAACATTATCATGAGCACTTGTTTCGACTAGTGGAATTAATCCTTTAAATTCACGACGATTGACTAGTTTTTCTGCTTCACGAACATAACGTTCAGAATATTCATCATTTTTTGTTGTTGCTAATACGACTGGTTTTTTTGTTTTTAATAATGAATTTAATATTAATGCAGTTAATTCTATTTGTCTTTCAATTGATCGTCCTTGTATTTGACTAACATCAAATACACAAATAAATCCATCAACATTAAATTTACCATCCAAAAGATAATGTTGTTCATATTCTTTTTCAATACCTAATTGATTTTTACAAATATACATTAATTTTTCAGCAGAATTTAGACGTGTAGCTGCACAACGTTTATGATATGGTTCCATTGTTTTACCCGAACGAAATGGTTGAAAACAAGCATCATCAACAAATTCTGTTTGTTCAACAATACTGAATGTTAATTCAAAACCTTCATCAGTACATTTTCTTGTTTCACCCCAATATAACCAATGTTCATTATTAACAATTGGTCCACTAAAATCTGGTTGTGATAATATTGATATATGATCACGATTATATTCATCAGCTTGTGGACGTATAAATCGATTACAAAGACAAGATTTACCAACACCAAGACAACCTTTTTCTTTTTCAGTACCGGATAATCCAACAACCGATATACAAAACATACGTCCACCACCACCATAATGTCCACCACCAGTGATCGTATCGAATGTTCGTCGATGATCATGATGATGATGATGATCATTTTTTCGTGACATTTCAAACAAAACAAAAAAAAAACTTTTAGTTTTGTTATTGAAAATCGAAAAATTTTCTTGTTGTTTTTATTTCGAAAAAAAAATATATATTCCTATCACTTTTGATATTGCTGATCAGATAAACATTATGATGGTTGAATGATGTGTGTGCGTTTTTATTTTATTTTCTCGAAATGGATTTGTTGATTTTTTTTTCTTTAAATAATTTATTATCGATGAAACATGGTTTGAATAAATCATAAGACAAAGCCACACACACTAAACACCATACACAACACAGTATAACATTGAAATTTAGTTTGTCAAATTCCAAAAAGAATTAAAGAATGGCCAAAATGAAATTATAATGTATTGTAGAGGAGATTATATGACGAACAACAGAACATTTGATGTTTGTTTTTTTTTTCGTTTCGGTCGGCGGCTCGAACAAAAACGAAAAAAATATTGATCGAAAAAAATGAACTGGAAACAATCACATTTCCTGAAAGCAGTCGTTTTTGTTTTCTTGTTTTGGTTATATTCTCACATCACAAATAGTCAAAAAAAAGAACGAATGATCACTCATAGAATTCGGGTTGTAGTGGCCATATTTGATGATGATGGTGTGAATTCCAAATTCTCAAAAAAAACCAAAAACCAAAAAAACAAAAAATAAGAAAAATAAGAAAAAAAGAACCGAAGAAAAAGATTTTTATCAGCGCAGTCAAAATTCTTATTTTTCGATTCTCTTTCTTTCTTTCTGTCTCACAGCAATCCCCTCCAATTCTCTTTTTCTTTTTACATTTTACATTTCGATCGAAATTAAAACAAATATTTTCGAATCGAAAATGTTAAGAAGAAGAAGCAGGAGAGAGGGGAAGGAAGATGAACATACAAACATTTAGTAAAAAAAAAGAAAAGAATGGAATCAAATTAAACGATGACAAACTAATGACGACAATTTATATTTAAAAAAAAAATCTGACTTGATTAGACATTCAAAAACACACACATCAACACAGCAAAAAGAACAATAAAAAATAATTGTTCAGAAATAGTGAATAATCAAATGTTCTTTGTAATTGTTGATGATGATAGCTTTTAATAATGATAATGATGATTATAGAGAGAATAAATTAATGATGTTTTTGTCTTCGATGATGATTTCGTCAATGGAACATTATTTTGATTCAGCGATAACAAAGTGAGAGAGAAATTAATGAAGAATTTCACCATTTAGATAAGATTTTCTTTTTCATTTCGATGGATGAACAATAAACTCATGGAACACAAACAAACATAAAGAATTTTTTTATTGAGTGATTTTTTCAACTCAATTATGTTGATAAAAATTGAAAATTCATGTTTGGCTATGTAAAATGGCTATGTAAATGTTTGTCGTCCAAAAAAAAATGATCCATCTATTTTTGGATTTTTTTTTTACTGGAAAACAAAAAATTCTCGATTGAAACGAATCAAAGAATCCAGTCAGCGAGAGAGAAGGAAAGAATTTCTCGAACACTTTTGACGTCTAACAAAAAAAAAATCATTTCTGGCTCATCGATGACACCGAAGTATCACTGTTTTGTGTGTATGCGTATATATTTTGGTCATCCAATCCAAACATTTTTTTTTTTTTTTTTGGTTCGAGTCCATGTGTGTGTGTGTGTATTTGGATATATACCACTACCGTATATCATTGATCGATGATCATATCAGTATCATTCCTCACCCTCATCATATATAATAGAATGGATACACTTTTTTGTTTGTTTGTTTGTTCGCGACTACTCCCACTCCTCCTCATCTTATTTCAGCAAAAAAAAATCGAATACATTCGAAATGAGCATGCTCATTGAAGAATCCNAAAAAAAAAAATTCATTTCTGGCTCATCGATGACACCGAATTCTTAAGTATCCCTGTTGTATGCGTATTTTGGTCATCCAATCCAAACATTTTTTTTTTTTTTTTTTTGGTTCGAGTCCATGTGTGTGTGTGTGTGTTTGGATATATACCACTACCGTATATCATCGATCGATGATCATCAGTATCATTCCTCACCCTCATCATTCATATATAAAAGAATGGATCCACTTTTTTGTTTGTTTGTTCGCGGCTACTCCCACTCCTCCTCATCTTATTTCAGCAAAAAAAAAATCGAATACATTCGAAATGAGCATGCTCATTGAAGAATCCACAAAAAATAAATGTGTTGTGCTTTCAGGTTTTTTCTGTCTCTCTCTCTCATCATTCGATTTTGACTGATGTTATATGTTGATTTGGCTCATCTTTTCTTTTTTGGCGCCTATTTTTTTTTCGTAACATCATCCTCATTAGTGTAAAAGTTTTTTTCTTTTCCATAAATTATAATCTGATTTGATTAGTATTAAAAAATATGGAATTTTTACAAGAATGTCAAGATTATTTTGGTACAAAAAATCTATATGAAATTTTAGATTTATCAAAAACAGCTAAATTATCCGAAATTAAATCGGCATATCGTAAAAAATCATTAAAAGTTCATCCGGATAGAGTTCAAATTGAAAGTCAAAAAGAATCAGCTAAACGTGCATTTCAAATATTGACAAAGGTATTTTTTTTTGTGTAGGTTTTTTTCTTATAAACTTAATGACATTCATTATTTTTTTGAAATAGGTTCATTGTGTATTGAGCAATGATGAATATCGAAAAGTTTATGATGAAAGTGGAATGATCATTACCGATGAGAATAGTTTTACAAATTTATCAACATTTGAAGAATTTTTAAATTATTGGCGAACATTATTTCCTCGAATTGATAGTAAAAAATTGGAAAATTTTGCCCAAGAATATATTGGTTCATCGGAAGAGGAAAAAGATTTAAAAAATCTTTATCTAAAATTTAATGGTGATTTAAATATGATTTTTGAACATCATTATTTTTATGATGAAGATCGTGTTACTGAAATGCTTAACAAATTGATTGATTCGAATGAAATTCCTAAATTTGATGCATTTGTAAAAGAATCAAAATCAAAAAAAGAAAAACGTCTTAAAAAAATTAAAAAAGAAGCTTCATTAGCTGAAAAAGAAGCAAAGAAAAAAGATGATGATAATTCTGATCTAATTATGGCCATTCAAAAACGAAATTCATCAAAAGAAAATAATTTCGATGATATGATTAAAAATCTTGAAGCTAAATATGCCGGATCAAAGAATCAAAAATCATCGACAAAAAATAAAAAGCGTCGTGTTTGAATTTTGTTTTTTTCTCTATAACATCATTGTTTCATGTGATCAAATGTTTTCTATTTGAAAATTTATCGAAAAAAAAATTTGATTCATTCAAATTATTTTTGTAACACGAAAAAACCAAAAAACACTATTATGACACACCAATGCAAATTCCACTATTGTCACTTATGTATTGTGTAAAAAAAAAATCCTTAACTCTTTTCCCTTTATCATTGTCAAAAACAAAGAAATAAACAAAACAAAAAAAAACTTGAATTTTTAAAATATTAAATAAAAAATGCGAATAAATCAAGAAATACTAACAGAAATATCTAATAATGGAAAATCTAGTAAAGAAGGTGTTATGTTTTATAAATCGAATGAATCAGGTAATTTGAAATTTTTTTTATTTTAAAACTTTAAACTTTAAATCATCGTCATTATCAGGTTATAAACAAAGATGGTTTAAATTATGTTCGAATCTATTGTTCATATATAATACTGATATTAATCCATCAATCAATGATTATAATCGTATAAATCCATCCTATGTATTTGTAATGGAAAATTTTATCATTCAAACCGATTCTAATATGCCTAATAAATTTTTATTTTGTAAGTGCTATTTTTTTGGTGAATGAAAGCCAACATAATTGATTTGATTTTTGTTTTTCGTAAAATTTAGATTTTATAGCCGAACCAGATGTAAAATATTGTTTCTTTTGTTTGAATAGTCGTCAAACAAATGAATGGTTAGAATTATTTAAACATTTATCATATCGTAAACAACGTATATATCTAAATCAATTACGAACAAAATTAAAAACAATAACAGGTATTGATCCATTAGAATCGACACCTTGGTCGGATAAATTATGATTTTTAATTTTCAATTACAAAAAATAATAATAATAATAAACAACATATCAACTAACGAAATGACAAGAAAAATTATCAACTACTAATCACATGATCCATCACTCCAACCATCAAGCCATCTTTGTTCTAATTTTGTACAATCAAATTGTTGTTTTCCTAATTTTTTATTAACACGATTATGTTGACGACACCACCACATTGATAATGAATGTCTAGTTTCTGTTTGTGGTGGATCATTATGAATTTCCGTTTGAAAATCTTTTGCACATGTTTCACATGGATAAAATCGAGCCAATCCTTTTATAAAATTTTTCATCAATTCTTGTTCATCGGTAGTCGGTTTTTCTGGATAATAAACTGATATTGTATGTAATAAACTCCATGTATTACGTCCTAATTCATCTTTATCCAATGGACAATCAGATCTGTAAATAAATTATTACTTTGATATTGAAAAAAAACTTGAACAATTAAATTAAAATTTACCGAATTTTATCGATTGATTCGGAATTATTATTATTATCAGTTTTTTGTTGTTGTTGTTTGGATTGTTGATTGCGATTAGTTTTGATCCATGTTTTAAAATCATTACATGCACGACATGGACGTTCATGTTTTAGGCCACTACCAATACCATATTCATAATCTTCATTATGTGATTGTTGTAGCAAGGTTTTCGGTGGCAATGTTGACGATGATAATGAAAACAAAGAGTGGAAAATATCCGTTAAGAATGATGACATAATTATCACCAAAAAATTTTAGAATCAAAAATTATCATTTAGAAAAGAAAAAATAGAATCCACATGATGCAATTCGAAATGAGTTTGCGCTGCAATACATATGATTTTCGATATATCGAATCATTTTCATTGTCGACGTGTGTATTGTGAACGATACAATCGAATATTGCGTTGTCGTAACAAAACAAAAAAAAATTCAACAACAATATTTCAATTTAAACTTTTAATTTTTAAATATTTTTTTAGTTATTTAAAAATTAAATAAATTTACAGTTAAATAATATCAACGTTTCATTAAAATAATTGTCCAAAAGCAACAACAACAACGATAATAAAATGTCACGACGACAACCACATACAACTGACGGTTTGTTGATGATAATAATTTCAATTAAATTTTTTAATTTCAATTCTTTCAATTTGGATGATCCAAACAAAATAGATTTCTTTTCCACACATATACAAGGTCATGAAAATAATGATCTTATTTCTGGTCTTCGAAATCAAGTTAGTGAGCTAAAATCGGTATGTTTTCTTGTTGTTGTTGTTATTGGTGATTTCGTCATTATTGATCACTGTTCATCTTTATTTTTCTTTCCACAGTTATCATTAGATATTGGTGAAGAAATCAAAGAACATAATCGATTTCTAAAAGATATGGATAATGATTTTGATTCAACATGGGGAACATTAACAAATTCGATGAATCGTTTGAAAAAAATTGCCAGTTCCGGTAATCATCGTTATATTTGGTATCTACTTTTATTTTCTCTATTTGTTTTCTTTGTCATTTGGTTGATTATAAGATTTTAGATGATTTCCATGATGATCGATCATTGTTGTTTTAGAAATTTGTATTTATATTTTTTTTAAATTGCTTTTTTTTAATTGATCACATTGTTTTTGTCCAGATTTGTATTTTTTTCTTCTCTTCATTACATAATGATGTGTGAAATCAATGAACGTGATAAATATTTAATGATCATGTTTTTTTATAAAAATAAAAAATAATTTCTTTTATTTTCAATGAAAATATCATTGCGATAAGCGAGTTGACACTGTAAATGACTATCATTCGAATGAAAAAATTTCCCAGAAAATGAAACATTGAGAAAAATTTCGGGAAATTGTTTCACTCGGATAAAATCTTAGCTCAACGTTTAAAAGCGCGTATTCCAATTTTTTTGGAGGGAATTTAACTTGTCTCTGTTCTTATCCAAAATTTTCTTTTTTTTTTGTTGTTGTTGTTTTAATTCATCATGGACAATGATAATGATTTTGGTGAAGATTTTGAAGAAATTATTGATGAAGAAACTAATCATGGAAATAATGATATGAACATTGATCCACAAGATGATGAAATCGAAACGAAACGTATTCATACTCGATGGTGTCGACCACCACCATCTTCAATTGATCCTGATAAAGATACAATCATTTTTCAACAAATGGATCTTGATTATTATATTGGTGAAGCACGATCAGATATGCCTGGTCCATCACAAGGACCAATGCCAATTATGCGAATGTTTGGTGTTACATCGGATGGTGTTTCAGTATTGGCACATATTCATGGTTTTGCACCATATTTCTATGTTTTAGCACCGAAAAATTTTGATTCAAAACTTTGTAAGCAATTACTTGAACGATTGAACAAATTAATTTTAGGTGAATTGCGAAATAATTCTGAAAATATATCCGATGCTGTTTTATCGATCGATTTGGTTCAAAAACAATCACTTTATGGTTATCAAAAATTGGATAAAACTACATTCATAAAGATTACATTATGTTTACCACGATTAATCAGTATTGCTGCTAAAATTCTTACAACAACAAATTTACTTGGACAATCAGAAACAAAATGTTTTGAATCGAATATTGAATTCGAAATCAGATTCATGGTTGATCGTAATGTTGTTGGTTGTTGTTGGGTGGAATTACCTGCTAAATCATATCATTTGAGAAGTACCAATCAATATGAATCACGTTGTCAATTAGAATTGGATATTGCTTATGATAAATTTATTGCTTATGAACCGGATGAAAAATGGTCATCAATTGCACCGTTACGTGTGTTAAGTTTTGATATTGAATGTGCTGGCCGAAAAGGTATCTTTCCTGAACCAGAAATCGATCCAATCATTCAGATTGCCAATTATGTTACTCGTCAAGGTGAACCGGAACCATTTATTCGTGTTATTTTCTGTTTAAAAACTTGTCTACCAATTGTTGATCATGAAGTTCGTTGTTATGATGATGAGAAAAAAATGCTTCAAGCATGGGCTGATTTTGTTCGTGAAGTTGATCCAGATGTTATCACCGGCTATAATATACAGAATTTTGATTTAAGTTTCTTAATCGATCGTGCTAAAACATTAAAATCATCAACATTTCCATTTTTAGGAAGAATGAAACGATCACAAACAAAAGTCAGACGTGTTATTCTACAATCAAAACAAATGGGAAAACGTGAAAATAAAGTAGTCAATATTGAAGGTCGTGTACAATTTGATCTATTATTAGTAATTTTACGTGAATATAAACTACGATCATATACATTGAATGCAGTAAGTTATCATTTTTTAGGTGAACAAAAAGAAGATGTACATCATTCAATTATTACTGATCTACAAAATGGTAATGAACAAACACGTAAACGTTTGGCTGTTTATTGTTTAAAAGATGCATTATTACCATTAAAATTATTAGATAAATTAATGTCATTAATTAATTATATGGAAATGGCACGTGTAACTGGTGTACCATTATCATATTTACTTGCACGTGGTCAACAGATTAAAGTTATATCACAATTATTACGACAAGCATTACGGCAAGATTTAGTAATGCCTGCTGTACGTCCATCACAAGGTGATGATTTTTCTGGTGCATTAGTTATTGAACCAATACGTGGTTATTATGGTATACCGATTGCAACACTTGATTTTGCATCACTATATCCATCAATTATGATGGCACATAATCTTTGTTATACAACTTTATTGACTGCAAATGAAGCCAGAGAAATGGATCCCGAATCATATACAAAAACACCATCAGGTTCATATTTTGTTAAACGATCGATACGAAAAGGTCTTTTGCCCGATATTTTGGAACAATTATTATCAGCACGTAAACGTGCAAAAGCTGATTTGAAAAAAGAAACTGACCCGTTTCGAAAAAAAGTTCTTGATGGTCGACAATTAGCATTAAAAGTTTCAGCTAATTCAGTATATGGTTTTACTGGTGCACAAGTTGGTAAACTGCCTTGTTTAGAAATATCACAAAGTGTTACTGCTTTTGGTCGGGTTATGATTGAAAAGACAAAAAATCTTGTTGAAAGTACATATACTGTTGCAAATGGTTATGGTAAAGATAGTATGGTTATTTATGGTGATACTGATTCAGTAATGGTAAATTTTGGTGTAAATACTGTTGAAGAAGCAATGAAATTAGGTAAAGAAGCAGCGGATAAAATATCGGAAAAATTTGATAAACCAATTAAACTTGAATTTGAAAAAGTTTATTATCCATATTTGTTGATTAATAAAAAACGTTATGCTGGCCTGTTTTGGACACGACCGGAAAAATTTGATAAAATGGATTGTAAAGGTATTGAAACTGTACGACGTGATAATTGTCCATTGGTTGCAAATCTTGTAAGTGCTTGTTTGCATAAAATTCTTGTCGAAAGAAATCCAGAAGCTGCCGTTAATCATGCAAAAACTGTAATTGCCGATCTATTATGTAATCGTGTTGATATTTCAAATTTAATCATAACAAAAGAATTAACAAAAGCTGATCATGAATATGCTGCTAAACAAGCACATGTTGAATTAGCAAATCGAATGGCTAAACGTGATGCAGGTTCAGCACCAAAACTTGGTGATCGTGTACCATTTGTTATTATTGCTGCAACAAAAGGTACACCAGCTTATATGAAATCTGAAGATCCACTTTATGTATTAGAAAATCGTATACCAATCGATACACAATATTATCTTGAAAATCAAATTTCCAAACCATTAATACGGATATTTGAACCAATATTTCGTGAAAAAACTGAATCAGTTTTATTACGTGGTGATCATACACGTACAAAAACAGTATTAACATCAAAAGTTGGTGCATTATTTAAATATACAAATAAACGTGAAACTTGTATAAAATGTAAAACATCTTTACCGGATAAACATGGTAAGTTGATCTCGGTTTGTTTTTGTTTTTGTTTTCCTTTTGAAAATCTATTCATTTCTTTCAAATCAATTTTTTTTCACACTAATCAGAATTTGCAACCTGTAATTATTGTGCTAAAGATGAACAATCAATATTTAAAAATGAAATTTCAAAGCTAAATCAATTTGAGGAAAAATTTGCAAAATTATGGACACAATGTCAACGTTGTCAAGGAAGTTTACTTGAAGAAGTTATCTGTACAAGGTTTGTTTGTTTGTTTGTTTTATTCATTCATTTTCTTAATTATCATTTTTGTTTTTTTTGTTTGTTTTGTTTTGTTTCATAGCTGTGATTGTCCAATATTTTATATGCGTAAAAAAATTAAATTTGATCTTGCTGAACAACAGAAAATTATTCAACGTTTTGGTTTGCCTGAATGGTGAACAACAACAAAAAAATGTAATCAGTTTTTTCAAACATTTGCATTTATTTCATGATTTGTGATTTGATTCCAATGTCAATAAATAAAATTGAATAATAAAAAAACATTTGGTTTCATATTTGAAAATTAATACTTGTTATATGTTCTCTTCTCAATCTGTTTGATTTGTATCAATCTAGTTTTTTTTGTTGATATCAGATTTTGGCTAGATGTGTAGACACTAATTAGGCTAAAAAAAATCAAAGAAACAAGACGACATTATTATTATTAATAGAAATGGTAGCGAAAGAAAAAAATCTAAAAATAAAATATTTTTTTGTTGATCCTCAATGAATAAATAATGATTTGATTTTTGGAAGTTTCATATGGAGAGAAAGAGATAGAGAAGGCGGCAAAAGTTTAACAACAACAACAACCGATTGTATATTTTGGTTGTCGGCTTATAAACACAATGATGATGTTTTCGATGATGATGATGATGTTCAACATGGTCATGATCGATACGATATATCAGATATAAAACAGTGATTTTTTCATGTTAATTTATCAACATCATTATTGCCATGGTAAATGGTTAAGACACACACACCGTTATACAGAGAGAAAGAGCGAGACAGACAGACAAATGAGAAGATCATAAATCCTGGTAACCAAAATTAGATTTTCACTTGTTTTTTTTTGTTTTTGGTCCGAGTTTTTCCACTTTTCGGATCATCATCACTATCATTCATCTTAGATAATGTCTTGCGAAAAATTTTTTTTCTTTCCAAACTGGTCATCAAAGAAACCAAAAAAAAAAACATACAAAATTCCACAATAATGTGTTAATTGATTGTGAAAATTAGCAGTGAAAAAACAAAAAACAGTCTTCTAAAGATTGTTGATCTGATCGTTGAGGTGTAACACACAATCGATTAATTTCATAATTTTCTTGATTCGATGAGGCAGGTAATTGTTGTTGTTGTTTTTGTTGTCTACTTTGATTAAATGGCAATCACCTTTTAGCCCCCACCCTTCACCATATAATACCACCACAAAATCATCAAATGATCATCATAATAATCGATTATAGAAATCAATCAATCAATCAGAATTGAATTCGGTAATTTATTAGGATTGTGGAGGGGAAAAACAAAAACATTGAGCTTCATCATCATTATCAAATTTTTCCAAACCAAATACGTATCGAATCGTTGTTGTTCTGGTTTTTCTTTCGTTGTTTGAAATACACACACACACAATAGACAATGACATAAACATAAAATTATCTTTGAATCATTGAATTGAACCAGGTGAAAAACAAAAAAATCGAATGTCATGCTAAATATGGTTATATATTGATTGATTCAATTGTCAATCAATATTACCAATATTATTAATATCGACCACACCATGATTGAATGATATTAATAGCGATAAATATGAAACATGTTTTTTTTTGTTTGAAAATTTTAATTTTATTTTTTTCATTTCGAATCTTTTTTTAGACTATATCGACTATCAATGATTTTCGACAATGTCGAAAAGACTATTTGAGTCGAAATAGGTCTAAAAAACTGGCCGGATGTTTGACCAAAAAAAACATTCGATTTTTTTCCTCGAATGATACATTTTTTTGTTTGTTTCCAACACGAACATTTAAAATCAATCGATTTAACCATTGAATTTCTTTCATTATTTACAAGAATTTTTCATTAATTTTTTGTTTGGTATCGTTTTGTTTTTCTATCATCATCAACATTTGAAAAAAAATTGATTTTCCAATATTAACCCTTACCACTCCAAACAAAAAAATTCTAATGGAAAATGTCCCCTCAGAGGACATTGGAGTGGTAAGAGTTAAAATTCATTTCAATTTGATTGTCTCTGCACAGCGCACCTAAAAATTCAGAGTGAGCGACATCTAGCGATAGTATCACTATGTATATCGTGCCGCATTGCTCTGTCCGTTTTCCGATTTCCGATTAATCTATGGGCCATAAAAAAATTATTTTTCATGCTGATGGACGTGAAAAAATTGAATTTACTATCAATTTTACAAATTACAAAAAAATTGCAACATTCATGGCCAAAATCAACAAGGAAGTCCCATCTTTTAAATGGGACCCAATAATGATCGTTAGTTAAAAAATAAGGGCTCGTGGTTGACCGATGAATAACCCAGGACTAACAACGCCCATGGATGGGGAGAGGTCAATTTATCGAGCCAAAAACCATCAGCAAACAGGTCAAAGTCACCACAATGTCAGTCGTTCACCATCGCATCGATCATCGTCGTCAACATCAACGTCAATTTATTTATTTATGCTTGTTATTATTTACATCCATCATATGTTTTTATCATTGTTTTTATCCATCTAAATTATTAATCAATAAAACCTTTAAAAATATACCAAGTTGTGCACAGGGCGAAATTTTTATAAATCGTTTCGTTTTCCCAAAAGGAAACAAGATAATTAATCAAGATAATTAATCAAGATTTATGTCAGCCATTGCGAATATGGCTACGACCACGTCGCACTCTAAAGGCACCGGAACCAGAACCAGATCCAGAATCAAATTTATTTTTTTTTCTTGGAAGAAGACCATGAAGAAATACAACCAATCGGAATATTTTGTCGAATGTTCAATTGTTTCAGAAATTGTTTGAATGACAATTCAATAAATTAATTAATAAAATGTTTCTTTAACACAAAAAATTCGTTTTTATTTTGTAGAAATAACAACCATCTATGAATATGATTTTTTTGAATGATTCAATTCAGTTGATTGTTTCNTCGCTCGCTTGGCTTTTTCCTACCTCGCGATTAACCACACACACACACACAACAGTTTTACCATTTTCGTTAATAAAAAAAAAAATTTTGTCGGTTGGTTTTTTCAATCGGTTAGGATCGGCTGTGTGTGTGTTTACTTCTTCGATGATATTTTCGGTAAAAATCATTTTTTTTTTGTTTTGTTTTTGTTTTTGTGTCTCTGGTTTTGTGTGTGTCTCATTGATAATTGATCAATTTTTTGAAATGTGACAATTATAATCAAATCCCGATATATTTTTGTTAGCCTAATTTTTCTTTTTCTTTAATCAAAACCGTTTGTTAACGAATGGCCTTCGCTACATTCATTGATAATCAGATGGTATTAGTTAATCTCTTTTGTAACCATATCAACAACAATCATCATCATCATTGAAAAACCGAAAAATAATAAAATATAAATAAATCGAATCAATTTCCACCGTCCACTTGTGTATTTTTAATCAGATTGTTTTTATTTCATTTCATTTTTCCATAACAATCTGTTTTTTTTCGTTTTGCTAAGTAAGTTACCAAAAATTTATTTTGTTTTGTTTTGATTAAAATTTACATTATTATTGTTATAGCAAAAAAAAAAAAATTAATTTTTTCACAACACAGTCAACAAACAATCAATCAAATAAAACATAAATGGTTATTGTTGATCGATACAAATAGAATTTGTGTCAATTCCAAAGTTGTTAGCAAAAAAAAACGTTCTTTTTTCGAATCTTCTTTAAAAAATAACTGTGATATAAATCAAATTCTTCAATCAAAAATTATGGCAGCCAACAGTAATGTAAGCGTTGCCGTAAGGTATGTGTTTTTTTTGTCATTGAAAGAAAATTTCGAAAAATTTATTGATTTTTCTATTGAATAGAATTCGGCCCAAATTACAACGAGAAGAAATTGATATGTATAATATTTGTACTCGTGTCACACCTGGTGAACCACAAGTTTGGCTTGGTGATGATAAAGCATTTACATTTGATCATGTCTTTGATATGTCTTCTAAACAATCGGAAATTTATGATGCATGTGTTACATCACTTATTGAAGGGTAATTGTTTTTTGTTTTGATTATTGTCATTTTATTTAGTTTTTGTTTTTTTTTTGTAAATCGATATTTCAGTTGTTTTGATGGCTTTAATGCTACAATACTTGCTTATGGTCAAACAGGATCTGGTAAAACATTTACAATGGGTACCGGATTCGATGTTGCATTACCACAAGAACAATTAGGTATCATTCCACGTGCTGTTGAACATTTATTCAATAGTATCAATACTAGGCGTGAAGAAGCAAAAAATAATGGTCTTCCAATGCCCGAATTCAGTATTAGTACACAATTTATTGAAATCTATAATGATGAAATTATTGATTTGTTAGCCGAAAATCGAAACAAACGTAATCGAATAAGAATTATGGATGATGATGGAATTATATTGCTTGGTGTTGAATCAAAATCCGTATCAACTAGTGATGATACAATGCAATGTTTAAAATCTGGTTCGTTATTTCGTACAACAGGTGCCACGTTAATGAATGCCGAATCATCTAGATCGCATGCAATTTTTACACTTTTTATCAAACAAACACGTATCGATTTGATTGAAAAAGAGGATGATGAAAGTCCTGCTCAAGAAGTAGTAACATTAACTGCCAAATTTAATTTTGTCGATCTTGCCGGTTCAGAACGTCTTTCAAGAACTGGTGCCGTTGGTGAACGTGCACGTGAAGGAATCTCAATTAACACCGGTTTATTACATCTTGGCAATGTGATATCAGCATTAGGTGATCGTACCAGAAAAGTTACACATATACCATATCGTGATTCAAAGCTAACACGTGTCCTACAAGATTCTCTTGGTGGAAACAGTGTTACACTAATGATTGCCTGTATTTCGCCATGTGATAGAGATTTTGTTGAGACACTAAATACTTTACGTTATGCTAATCGAGCAAAAAATATCAAAAACAAAGTTACGGCCAATCAAGATTCGCAGACTCAACTTATTAATGAATTACGTCGTCAAATTATGCAATTACAGCTTGAAAATCAAGAACTTCGTCAGGGTAAATTATTTGTTAAAAATGATGGTGAAGTAGAATTGAATGATGTTTATCATGAAAACGAAATGCTTCGAAGAGAATTGAGTAATGCAAATGTTCGTATAAAAGCATTAAATACTCGATTGACCGATGTAAACGATGAAAATATTGATCTTAAAGAAAAATTGGCCATGCATCAAATTTCAGCCAATAATGGTGCAAATATTACGAATCAAACTGGAAACGAAGATGCAGCTGAATCTTTGATCAAAGGATATCTTAAAGAAATTAGTAATCTACGTTCAAAAGTTGTTGAAAGTGAACATCTCATTACTCATTATCGTAAACAGTTGAATAGTACGAATGATGATTATGAAATGAATGGATTGGATCTTATCGAAAAAGCTAAACACGATGTCGAATTGGGTAAAGCTTATTACAATCAATTGAACAATTCGTTAAGCTCACCTGATAGTAATGGAAATCGTGTCACCGATTTACAAGATGATGAGCAAGATGATTATTTTGAAGAAGACAATGATGAAGATTTTGAAGCAAAACTTGCAAATCATAATGTCGAATTGGCCAATTTGATGGAAAGTTTGGCTTCAAAAGAACGTTTAATCGAAGAATTTGAAGCACGAGAACGACGAATCATTGAATTAACTGAACAATATGAACAAAAAATTGCTGGCTTTAAAATGAAAATCAAACAAATTGAAGAAGATCGTAATAAATTAATGACCAAAATCAAAAAAGAAAATAAAGATGATCATACATCGAAAGCGAAAAAAGAAGAATATGAAAAACGATTAACCAATTTACAGGCTGAAATTCGTAAATATGAAAATCTTAAACGTGAACATAAAAAAATGCTAAGCCAAGAATCGATCAGTAAAGAACAGCTTAAAAAACTTCGACAAGAAGTTCTTGAAGCAAAACAACATCGTGTCAAATTGATAGCTCAGATGCGTGAACAAATGGGTAAACATAATAAAGAATTACTTAAGAATCGTATTATGATCAATAAATTAACACGTGAAGATCAGAAAAAGATTATGCAAATTAAAAATCTGGAAAGTCGATCAGATCAACAGAAAAAAATGCTACAACGACGTGAAGAAGAGCTTAAAAATCTTAAAAGATTAGCTCGACCAGTTTATAGTAATCGTGTGGCAGGCCGTATTCGACGTTATGTGAATGGAAATACTCCACAAAAAGCTCGCAACACTTGGAACGTTTTTGAACAAAAATTTAACAAACTTGTCGCTCTTCGTAGACATTCTGAACTGGAAGAGAAAAAATTGACACGTTATTATGAAGATCGACAGAAAGCAATTGATTTATTGAATACATTGAAAGAAAATAATAGTGATGCAGATTATATTGCCGATGATCTTGAATCGATCAAAGGAAATATTGAATATTTGGATCAATGTATTAAAAATAGTCAAAGTATTATTATGCAATTAGAGGATGAAAATTTAAATCCTGATCAATTGCTCGATAATGTTGATCCAGATGAAACGGAATACATATTGAGTAAACTTGCTACAAGTGCAATTAATCATGCTATTGTTGCATCACAACGTGGTGAAGAACTAAAAGACAAATATGCTGAATTGAACAAATTGAATGAAGAAAATGTTGCCCGTGATCAATTACTTAATTATCTAGTGGCTACAAATAGAGTTCAATTGGTAAATATTTTCAATCATATCATTAACCAATTATCAAAGAAAAAATTGTCTTTTCTTTTAACCAATTTAGAAACATGATGATGATGATGATCTCCTACCGAATATTCCTGATATTCCACCATCTAATCCTAAATATCGAAGATTAACAATGACACCAGCTGAATTATTATTTTCAATACCTGAGAATAATAATCAACATAAAAATGTTGATTCAACAGCTGATGCTAATGGTAATAATAAAGATCAATTAACGAATTCACTACAACAAGAACAAAACGATAACAAACAACATCATCAACCGACAGATATGAACAAAACATTTTGGGTGATGAAAGATAATAATGTTGATGAAAACAACATTGATCAACAAAATTCGAAAAAAAATTGTGATCCAAATTCGTTGATGGTACAAAGTATGTACGAATCTTCGAATGATGCTAATCAAAACAAATCGAGCTTAAATAATGGTGGTGGTGGTGGTGGTGTAGCAGTTACTCCTTCCATTCCGTTATGTCATGTATCGAATGCATCATCACTTAAGTAAGTGTTTTGGATTTTTCCTCTTTTTTTTGCTAATAATCGATTCGCATGATTTTTTTGCCATAAATATTCTATGTTGATATGATATTTTTATATTTTCTTTTAATTTGTCCTGTTATCTGTCTTATTTTTCCGATTTTGTCTTTGTTTCGTTTGTGTTTGTCATATTGATATTATATGATAATGATGAAAACAATCGTAGAGAATTGAATGATATGATGTCTTCAACTTGTGTCTCTTCGACAGTCGGCTTTTCTACACCGACCAAATCTATTGCCCATCATCATTATCTTTTATCACCACATTTGATGCGACGTAGAATTCCATCAAACAATAATAATAATAATAATAACCATCAAAATTATCATATCAACAATAATAATATCAACAACAACATCAGTAATAATCATAATCCTTTAATGATGAATAATAATCTTCAACAACATAGTCCTACATCTTATAAAATAAATCGTTATATGCGCAATACTAGCAATAGCAACAATAACAACAACAATGATCAAAATCATGATCCAAATTGTCGACCAAATGTTCTGTAAGATTGATTGTTGCTTCTTATCTTAATTTAGTTTTAGATTTGCTTATTGTGCTTTTTTTTCCTGATCAACAACTAGTTCTTGTGTTCTAATAAATGCCATTATCTTTTAATCTTATAGTGATACCTATAATATCGGTGAATCATCAACAAGTACACCGCCCGGATCGCCTTCGGTAAATCGTCGAATAAATCGTGAAACATCATCATCATCGATGTGTTCATCAATGAATAATGATTTGGATGTTTTCTCTAGATTGACCGGTGCATCAACAGTCAGTAATCAAGTGGAAAATAGGTATATGAAAGAAAAAACATACCTGACAACATAAACTTGTCATTATTAATTTTAATTTTCTATCATTTTATACATAAAAATAGCATTGGTCAGATATTACCATATCAGAGTAAAGCAATCGACAAACAATTTCCATTGACATGCACACACACCGTAGGTGAGTGTACAATTATAAATAATGATGTCAAGATTGGTGTTGGTTCATCGACAAATGATCGAACGAATACAAATACATTACACAATTCATTAATGATGAAAAAACATAATAATAATGAACATATTGAACAAAGATCGTCTCTTAATATTTTATCCGAACTTGATCGAACACAACCATTTTGTACTACCTGTTTAGTGTGTAAAGATGGTGTTTGTACAAGACGACGAAATAGAGCAATGAAAAAATGAGAAAAAAAAATGTTACCATGTTTTCTTCATCACATCAACAAATATATTCATTTTTTTTAATAAATCAAATATTTATAGAATTAAATTTTTCACACAAAAAAACAAACAAACATAAACTATCTAATCTAATAAACTATCTAAATTCTTTGTTTATGATCATTTTGATCTATCTATTCCTCCTTTATCCCATTTAAAAAAAACAAACAAACAAAATAGTTGGACATAGGCGATCAGTATTATCAGTTACAGCAACAAATGAAGTATTATTTAGCGGATCAAAAGATGGTACAGCAAAAATTTGGGATCTAACCCAATGTACTGAAGTATTTTCATTGAATGATCATCCTGATGCTGTTAATGTTATACGATATGATGAATATAATAAGCTGATATTCACTTGTTCGAAATCAATCATTAAAATTTGGGATCCACGACAAAATCCTATCGATTGTGTACGAACATTATGGTATGTTGTTTTTTTGTGATTTTTATTCAATTAAAATTCATTCGAAATATAGTTCGACAGGTTTACCTGATCTTGGTAATGATAGTTTTATTTATGATATAAAACTAAGTGCCGATGGTTCAATTCTGTTTTCCACATCCGATCGTATTGTTCGTGCTTGGGATCTACGAAAATTTCAATTAATTTCACGACTTAATACTGGTCATAAATCATTGGTCACATGTTTGGCTGTCGATGATGATGAAATCAATGATACACGATTGGTTATCACTGGTTCGAAAGATCATACCGTAAAAGTTTTCGAATTGGAACAAAATCTTAACGGAATCTATGTACCGAAATATACATTGAAACCACCACATTATGATGGTATAGAAGCATTACGATTAACTGATAAAGGTCGTTATTTGTTTTCTGGTGGACGTGATGGTTGTATAAAAAAATGGAGCCTTACCGAACAACGTTGTGTAGCAAGTCTTGGTAATTGTCATCGTGATTGGGTATTAGCATTGGATACTTTCTTACAAGAAACAGTTCTTTTATCCGCTTGTCGAAGTGGCTATCTTCGTGTATGGAGTACAGAAAATTGTCGTTCATTTGGTGAGATTCAAGCTCATACAAGAGCTGTAAATGATATTGCCACCATTCCAATGGCCATATTTACTGCATCAAGCGATTGTACAATCAATTTATGGCAATATCGAGATACCAGTCCAATCGATGATATTGTTGAATAATTGATTTTTCTCAATGAGTAGTAGTTTTTCAAATCAGTATTTTTCTTAGTACACCCTTTCGAAAATTGTTCATCACACTATATTTTTGTAGGAAAAAAAAATTTATGTCAAAAAAATAGGGCATGTTTTTTTACAATAATCTGTTTTTGAAAAAAAAATCTTTTATTTATTTTTTATTTATATTGTTCTTTTTTTTTAAGTTAAACAAACAATCCTTGTATCGACTAGGATCAATTTAAAGGTCAAAAAAAATTGAATGGCATTTTTTACAATTAAAAAAAATTGATCAGACAAATATATCATCACAGACACTTGAATAAATTGATTTGTTTTTGTTTTTTTTTAAATAATATAAGATGTGCATGAAATATTTACATTGAATAACGTCCAATATTACGATAAGGAGTACGTTCATATGGTATATTATTTGCATTAAAATATTCATTGTAGATCAATTTACCAAGAAATAAATGAAATACAATAATAAGGAAGATCATGGATATCCAGAAAAAATTAGGTAAACCACCAAGTGAATGGCCATAACGATGTAAAGCAATTGTTTGATGTTCATGTGGTGGAGCTTCACTAATTTCTTTTACATGAATAGAATGTTTTAATTCTTGTACATGTTCTCGATCGGATGTAATATAAAGTAAAGGTGTTAATGGTTCAGTTAATTTGACGGGAAATTCTTGTGGATTTGATGTTAGATGAACTGGTGCATCTAAACAACCGGCATCACAAGCATAATATTCCTTTAATTTGTCTGAGAAAGAAAATGAAAAAAATAAATTAATTCGTTCATAATAGTTTAATACGATGAACTTACTGTGATTTTCAATGGAAACACGAATTAAAGCTTTGTTTTCATCATTAATCACAATGCTAATGTTAAGCAAAGTCTTATCATCATACATTAAACGTCGAATTAGAAATGATCTTTGAAGATCATTTGGGTGTGAATGAAATTCAATGTGTCTTGGAGTGAATCGTAATCCGATCAAACTGATAATGAATGCTTGTAAAACATCACGAGCATTTGTTTTTATTAAATGTTCACAACTTTGTTTCTCTAATGTTAAAAACCATAAAGAAATTACTCGATAAAGATCGTTGACTGAATCAAGACGGTCCCATAATCGAGGAGCCTAATTTGAAATGAACAAAATTATGTATTATTAAAGCAATTCAAACAATTCGATTCACATACGTGCAACGTTGAATGACCATGATAACATCGATCTGGTCGATAGATCAATGATCGGTTTATTGTTTCCATTTCGATAAAACTTGATAATTCTGTGTTAAAATTTTCCAATACAGAATTGCTTTGTTGATCGGATTGATTTGGCAATAACATCGAACGTTGGGATAGCATATAATAAAGAGTAGCATTTATCTGATAACCATTGATGACATTCGGTGCATGTGAATGCGAAATGCTAAAACCAGAAGACCAAATTTTTTCCCATGCATGTTCATGATATTGTTGCAACGCTGTATCGGAAAAATCAATCAATTTTTTGACCGTTTCTCGTAACGAAACTTTTAGTTCTGGTATTGCAGCTTGCATTTCAGATTCATGTTTGAAAACGTCAGTGTAATTAATGAATGTATGAACGGTTAAAGAAAGATGATCATTTGGATGAACTTCAATTGTGTTATGCAACGATGTATAAGCAATTGCAATTAGCCGTGCTTTTGGTGATCGATTAGATTGTTTGCTATTGAATGTTTCGGTATGCTGTATTGGTGCAACAATCATTGAATATTCACGATGATCTTTAGTCATAACACCAATAGATTTACTAACGACAGATTTGTTTGACCAACCTCGACGAGATAAACTCAAAATAACCGGGGAATTCTAATTGAAAATAACAATAAATTAATCATAATAATGATTATAGTTTGGTGTCATACCGTTGGATTCGAAATACGAATATCCTGTGTGAATAACACCGGTATTAAACGATGAGCGGAAAAAATTTCATGAATAGATATGATACCACCACCATAATTACTGCAGGTTAATTTTTCGACAATTCCTTTACGATAACGTGATATGTAGGCAGCTATAAAACAATAATTGATTATTGATGAAAATTTTTAGTAAATCATTCAAATTCATTTACATTTAGTATGAGTCCCAAATTCTTCTACATTGATAATCGGATCAAAAGGTATGGGCGAATCAAGGATACGTTTGCCCATAATATGAAATCGTGCACCATTTTCTAAATTTTCGATTGGAACAATAGAAAATTTACCATTTCCAACGAATGGAATAAAAGAATTTTTCGAAATTTCATTGATACTCGGATAGTAAGTAGTTCCGAATGATGATGAAGTTGGTTCAACAACAATCGGCAAAGTTGATGGATGATTTTCGAATGGAATCCAAACACTTGAATCGGATGATTCAATTTCAGAATGAAATGATTGTACAAATTTATCAATACAAAGAGAAGTGAAATCTGGTTGTAAATGAAAGTATTTTTTTTTTTAAATTAAATCAATTAATAATCAATAGAATTACCTTCTTTTTTAAAACGAGTAACATTGAATCGATTAAAAAACAATGAAATCAAATACAAAATCAAAAGTAATCCACATATCATAAGAATCGATCGTTTTCGCCTGAAACAAAAAACAATTGAATTTATGTCAACATTAAAAATAAATAAACAGTAAATAATTACAAGAATAATTTATCATGTCGTTTTAAACGACGTGAACTGAAAAATTCTAAAAAATCACGAAAAGACATAGTTATCAACCGGGAATATAATCTCCAGGATTATATCAAGAATTCTTCATTCTTAAATCCTTAAATTCAATTTAATGATGATAATAATTATCAGCCACCTGGTTCAACACAGACAAAAATGTGAGTACACTGTCATTTTTTCGGAGTGTTAATCATTCGAAATCATCCTTCCATAAAGGAAGTATTTTTTTTGCGGATTTCGAAATTCTAATTCTTTTGGTTTATGATTATGAATTCTTTTTTTTTTCTTTTTCTGGTTGAAGGAGAATAATTACCAATATTCAACGGTTCCTAATCCAAAATTCAATCATTTGTTTTATTTATTCAAAAAAAGATCATTTTATCTTTTAACCTATTGAATAACCGGGTACACTTAAAAAAAAAATCTAATTTGTTCTCGAACAAAATAAGTGTGTGTGTGTGTTATGTATATTTATTACATCCACACAAACACATAAACGGCGTCGCTATTTGATCCAATTTTTTTGTTTTGTTTTTGTTTTTGTTTTTCACTCCTGAATTGGTGTCCATTAAAACAATAACAAACAAAATTTCTTTTAATTTTCTTCAAATAAAAATAATAATCTTATTGTCCACTACCGTGTGTGTTTGTGTTTTCAACGATACAGGTGAACGAATTTGCGTTTTAATAATTTTTTTTTGTTCACTTGTTTGGCTATAATAAAATTACAATTTGGCAAGGTATGTACTTGGTAAAAAATTGTTGTTAATGGTTTAGTAATTGATCCTGAAACGAAATTTTTTGTTTAAAATCTTTTAAGCAAAAAAAACAGCAACAATAACAAACTTTGTTGTTCTTTTGAGCTTTTTTTTTTCCTTGCTATATAGCAGACTGGAAAAAAAAACAAAATCAATCAATAACCACAACAAACTCGAAAAACGCTCAATCAAAAAACAAAACAACAAAATCCCGAGTTTGAGTTTTTTTTTCTACAAAAAAAAAGTAAATCTTGTTTCTGGATTAATTAGATTTTTTTATTTATTAAACTGTTGCAAATGAATGTTTATAATACCAATAATGACTGAGCAAATTAAGAAATGAATGAGCAAAAGAGAGAGGATAGCCATGACCGCTAAATCATAACAATCGAACAAAATATTATCACCACCATTGCTATCATCATTAAAATGATCTCTTTAATTGTGTTTATAAATATGAATGAATGAATGAATGAAAAATATGACATGACCTTGTACTCGTTTATGAATGAATTTTCATTTTCTCTTTTTTTACTCAACAAGAACGAAAAAAACATTGTTTTCAATTTTACAACGTGTAACGTTTTAATACAGGTAAATAACGGATAAGATTTTCGTTAAACTTGAACACTAAACATTCGAATTACATTGCTCTCTCTCTCTTTTGCTTGGTTTTTGTTTTTCATAATTGCAAATTTTTTCATTATTATATTGAAATGCAATGTTTGAAACTGAACAAAAACTCAACAATTTCGATTTTTTTTGTTGTTGTCCCATTATTCGAATACATAATTATAGCGAAAGTGATCTATTTTTTCCCTCTCTCTTTCTTTTTCTTTTTTTTCCACTGTTAATCGATTATGAATTAATGTTGTTTTTCGTTATAAATTTTTTTTTACAGAAATAAAGAAAAACCTTTCTAAACGAAAATATTATGTCGTCTTCATCTTCAAATAATAATAAAGACAGTAATGTTTCGTCTCCACCTTCTTCTTCATCATCATCATCTTTTTCTGTTTCGGATGGACATCAAACATCATCATCAACAACAACAGCATCAGTTTCAACAAATTTGAGTACCACCACTGTAAATAATAGTGATAACAGTGACAATAATAATCATAATCATCAACATAACAACATTATCGATGATAATAATCAACAACAACAACAGCCACAAACAGCAACACAAACATTGACTAATTGTTTGTTAAGAATTGCTCGTATATTTAGTGGTAATAACCGTAATGATGGTCAATCTGAAACAAATAATCAACGATTATTGGCAACAACAACAACAAATCGAACTACAGCTACAGCACGAGTTTATGTTGCTACAAATAATCCTTTATCATCAATGAATTTATTATCATCATCAACATCAACAACAACACATCCATCAACAACTACAAATGCAATAACCCGAATATTTGAACATTATAATATTATTCAAAATAATCATAATCGTTCCGAACAATCCAATACACATTCAACGATTATTGTTAATGGTGGTGGTGATAACGGTAATTCACAAAATATTCAAAATAATCAAAATATCATTGGTAGTGATGCTAGTGGTATTACTTTTCCTACATCGGCAACAACACAAATTATACAGATAAATCCTACACATCATCATTTATCAACATCGTCATCAACATCATCAAGAAATATAGTTACAATTGAACCTGTCTATGCAACTATTCGTCGAGTTTCAATTCAATCAACACCATCATCATCATCATCATCATCATCATCAACTTCTTCAAGTGAAGAAACCAACAGAAATCAAGAACAACAACAGCCATTAGAATCATCATCACAGCCGAACACATCATCATCGATTACATCCACAACTAATACAGCCACAGATACATTGAATCATGGACAACAAACAACTAATAATGGCCATCAATCATCAACAATAATAACTGGTTTAATACGTGATAATATTAGTGAAAATTCTATGGATCCATCGTCATCGATATCAAATGAAAATGCTGATCAACAACAACAGCAATCAAGCGATTCGACAAGAGATACAAACACAACCCGAAATCAATCTCCTTTCTCCGTTACAATGAACCTAACATTTAATATACAACATAGTGGTAGTAATCATCATCATCATCATCCTCATCATCAACAACAACAACAACAAGCTCGGAATTTCAACAATATATTCGACATTCCAATTAATGGTGGTACAGGTGGTGGTATAGCTCCTGGTGCCGAATGGATTTTAGATGCCAATCTTCTTCGTACCCGTCAACGAGTGTATAGTGTAGGTATCGCTTTATTCTTGATGATGATCAAGGTTCGGTCGATTTTTTTTTGTTTGAAATTCAATGAATAAGTATGTAATTCTTTTTTTTTTCTTGATTTTTAAAACAATAGATGTTGCTTATACGAATTGCTCTTTTATATTCGGTTTCAATACCGAAATTATTTCGAAATATTTTCGAATATTCCATATTATTGATGGCCTTTGTTTCTTTTGCATTATTGATACATATGCATGTGATGTTTATTCGTTCACCATTAACATGTTTGGATCATGTTAAACAAACATGGCCAAAACATGGTATTTTACGTGTACAGATTGGTGATCAAGAGTCATTTCTTTCAACTTCTGCCAATTTCAAAACTGATCCTAAATTTTTAAATGATCTTAATAATATGACAACAAAAATGTTTCCATTTACATATGAACAATATCAAAAAGATACTTATGATATTATTCATCCAGATTATGGTTCATCTTATCTGAAATTGAAGCCAATTTTTTCGACCAAACATTACAATAAAAATAGTCACTCAAATTCTGTGTTCAGCAATAGTGAAAGCAATATTGGGGAAAATGATCCAGAATTAACTTTTTTAAATTATAAAAAGAATGGAGGTTTGTATCAATTTTTTTTGAAAAATGTGTTTTCAAATTTAATATTGTTGAATATTTTTTCCAAATAGCTTGGTCCGAGCCATATATTGTGGAATATTCTCTTGAATATGGTCTTTTACGGTTATCTGAACAAATGCGTGAACGATATCATGTGCCAGTAATGAAAGTTGTACTTAATCCTGAAACAGATAAATGTTTTGGTGATCGAACAGCTCGTTTTATGTTGAATAATTTTCTTGGCTATGATGATGTATTGATTGGTTCAATTAAACAATTGGCCGAACGTGAAAATAATCGTGGTTTTGTTCGAAACGTTGTCACCGGTGAACATTTTCGTTTTGTTAATGTTTGGATGACACGTACATCATATTTAGCAGCCGCATTTATTATGATTGTTTTCACATTGTTTGTGTCGATGTTGATTCGTTATAGCCATCAACAGGTAAGCAAAATATATCCTTATTTTGTAAATATTATTTTTTAATTCAATATTTTTTTTCAGGTTTTTGTATTTGTTTCGGAATTTCTTCGATCATTAGAATTACAACAGCCTGCTACACGAATATCATTTTTGGCCGCTTCTTTGGTAACGGTCATTCTTGCATTGATAGGAATGGAAACAATAATGTATGAATTTTTTTCTGATTCATCCATCACATTCCATGTGATAATAATGGTATGGGCAGCCGATCAATTTGATTCATTGGCCATACAATCACAAATTACAAGGCGACATTTTCTTCGATTTTTCTACCTCTATCAATTTATATTCTATGCCTATCATTATCGATTTAATGGACAATATTCTGGACTGGCATTGTTGACAACAATGTTGTTCACATATCATTCGATGATTTATTTTTTCCATCATTTTGAATTGCCATTATTACGAGCTACATATTCTCAACAACAACAACGACATCATCATCATCATCATCAAGTGCCAGTACAGCAACAACAAATTTTTGTTTCATCATCACCATCATTGGCTTCGGATCATCAACAAAATCAAAACAATAATAATGGTGAACAACAACCAAATTCACAGTCTCCAACAACAAATGATCAAGAAACAATGACAATGAATTCAACAAGAGAAGAACATTCGAATAGTTCCGAACAACAACAACAACAGCATGGATCTAATGACCAAATTGAAATGATAAATGATAATAATCATGATAATGTTTCAATCAACGAAACTAATGATAGTCAAAATGAAAGAGAAAAATCTAACCATTTAAATGTACTAAATCAAGCTACTCAAACGACGACAACAACAACAACAATTCCAAATCAAATGAATGAACAATCATCACCTATTACTATCACCAATATTGATGAATGAATGAAAATGGTAAATCTTGAAAAAGATAACCAAATAGAGATTTATAAATATATTCTATCTCTATTCTAGTCTCTTATTCTGAATTGTATACATCTCTGTTTCGTCTAATTTTTATAAATTTCAAAAAAATACAAATAAATCAACCGCAAACAACAACAAAGAAATTTGTTTAAATAAATTGTTTATTTTGTGATATATAGAAAATGATTATAAATGTTGTCACAGATTTAATTGATTAGCGTTGTTTTGTTTTGTTGTTTAAATATCTAAATTTTAATTTCTTTTTTTTTACAAATTCAAACAACAACAACATGTGCACCGAAAGATGATGACTTGTTATTTACAACTCTTTTTTTTTAATTGTTCATTTTTGTAATTTTTTTTTATAAAAATCTTTTGCTTGTTCTCTGTTGATGATCATTTAAACTAATAATAATAGGGCATTTGTGACAATAATTTTTTCTGTGGTTAATTATCAAAAGAAAGAATGAAATACACATCACATCTACACAATTATACAATCAATTGAAGATATCGTCGCCGTCATTTAATACGGTTCAACAGAAGCGGGTTTTTTTTTGTTTGGATAAAAACGTTATCCTTTTTGTATATGTCCTGGTGTGTCTGCTTATTTGATTATATCGTTGAATTATTCAACATGAATAATAAGATTTTCTATAAATAATTTTACTGTAGTTGTAGTTCTTGTTGTTGATTCAATTCTTTCCCCTATTTGATAATAATGATGTTTTGGTGCATCAACCAAACAGAAATCCTAAGCAAAATGATGATGATAAGCAAAAAAAAAAAAAATTATCTCTTTTTTTTGTCTCAATATAATCATGGGATATACACACCGATGCAGCAACTAATATAATCATCACAACAACAACAAAAACAAACAAAAAAACATTCGATTGACACGTGTTATAACATTGTTTGACGAATCATAGAATTATTCAAATTTTTTCTTTTTTTTTGAAAGTACAAATTATAAATAAATAAAAGGTTTATTTTTATATAATTTTGTTGTTGTTGTTGTTGAAATTATTCTGTATCCAATAAATCCTATTTGGTATCCAAAATTAACAACCAAGCGCGTTAACTTTATTTTGAATTTTTTTTTTCTCTCTCAAAAATTGTCTTGTTTTGTTGTTATTATGATGGTAAACGTGCCTGATGGCACGAGTTGACGCATGCTCAGTTTATTTTTATTTTTTTTTTTTATTAAAAAACCTTTTTCAATAACAATATATTGATGATGTTGTGTTGATCACGAACACCATGTATATATAAATGATATCTCGTATACGAAAAATATATATTGTTGAATATGTGAATCCATCCATCCAACCATTTCAATTTATGCATTTTGTATGAGTTCATATCATGGCCAACGACTGTTTTCAAATGATAATATTAAAAAAAAACTTAAACCACACCACTGAAAAAAATAAATAAACAACATTGTCGACAACCAACTAACTAACTAAACAAGATTCAATACATTCTATTTGTTGATGATAATAATATTCAATGTTATTTGAATGGTGATCATATTGGAAATTCGAATGTTTATTATCATTTTGATGTGTGTTCTGTAGTTGTGATGATCGAACAGGAAACAAGAAACTTCGACTACAACGACAAAGAAGAAACAACATTTTTTTTTTGATCATCAGGAAAAAGCATTTACCTTTTCATAATCAATTATCATCATTATTACAAAGAAGTCAACATCAAAACAAGCAGCTCCATAAAATTATTATCATCATTTGTTGTTCTGTCATTGTTTTGTTTTGTTTTGTTTTAAATCATTCATTTTTTTTGTTTTGTTTATGTCGTACATGTGTATTGTGTTGACATTGACAAATAAGGGTAGCTCGATATTTAATTCCAATGTATTTTTTTTTCTTTTTAAATTGAATTTGTAAATCCTTGATTATTTTCTTCATTCATTCACAATTATCAAAGCATCCATCTTAAACCGTTTGATTGGATGAATGGAAAAAGAAGAAGAAGAAAAAAAAACTTTCCGCTCTCTTTTCATAATCTTATCAATTTTCTTTTCTAATTTGCTCATCATCTAATCATTCAAACAAAACTGTTGTACTAAATTTTATTGATTTTTTTTCCCATTTTTGATTGGTTTATCCTCATCAAGACGGTGTATGATCAATCGATTTTTTTCTAATGACACAAAACATACCAATATTTGTACACTGTACCTTTGTCGTATAAACAAAAGAATCTATTTGACAATTTTTATATTTTTCTTTTGAATATCAAAAAAAAAACTATTCAAAAACTACAATTTCCATGTATCCACCATCGATTTCTTGCACAATAAAATTAACAACAATGGTCAACGGTGCTCTTGGTGGACCAAATGTTCAACGACAATTACGATTACAGGTGTTGAATCTATATAAAACGGTAATTTTAAATTCTTTAAATGTTCTTAAATGATTTTGATTTTAATTTTCTTCTTTCTTTAGCTTCTTTATTATGGCCGAGATTATCCATTAGGTTATAAATATTTTCGTGATCGTTGTCATAAAGCATTTGTTAAAAATCGTGATGAAACTGATCCACAACAAATACAGAAACATATTTCACGTGGTGAATTTATTATTAAAGAACTTGAAGCATTATATCGTTTAAGAAAATATCGTTATTTAAAACAACGTTATTATCCGGAAAAATTGGAAGATGATGATTTAGCTGGTAAAATTGATCCAAAATTAATGTTGAAAAAATTTGAAGCTAAAACAGCAACAACAAGTCAACAACAACAACAATCATCAACAGTAAGATCATCATCAACGGTAACAGAATCGATTAAAGAGGAGATTAAACAATAGTAAACAAATGAATGAATGGCTAAAACATGAATATGTTTCATTCATTCGATACTCAATAATAATTTGAAAAAAAAGAAATTATATTTGTGATAGAATTTTGTATTTGTAATATCCTCAAAATATGTATTGTAACAACATTACAAATGCTATATGTGTGTTTATTTTTAATCCGTTCAAATTACACACATAAACATTCATCGGGAAAAGTTTTTCTTTCTATTGATTGCTCCCATCATTTATACTCTTTTTTTCTTTCTAAACAGATTATATTATATTTCTTTTTACATACAAATATATAGAGAATATATTGATGTAAATTGCTCATTTGACTCTGATTTTGATGTGTTTGATACGAATTAAATTGAATTAGAATTTTTGAAAACAAAAACAAAAACAATTGAATTGAATTCTTCTGTTTGTAAAGGGAAAATGCCTTTTTTTTAATCCAACTCACATTGGTAACTAATGTTTTTTTTTGTTTCATCCATTGACTGATTTATTTGTCATTTTTGATTTGGATTTTTTTTTCTTCAAATAAATTATTTAAATTTTATATACAAACTCATGCAAACACACACGATTGATGACTGTTTGTTTTAGATAATAAAATTTTTTTTTATAAATAAAAATGATTTATCAATATCAATTGAATTAATCTTTTTCAACGAATTGTTGTTGGTGTCGAAGTTTCACGATCAGATGAAAATTGTATTGGATTAATAGTAGCATCTACTGGATAACGTGAACTATGTGATAAATATGGATCATCAAAATCATCGGTACGAAGCATTACTCTTGGTGTTGATACAGTAAATGTCTAACAAATATAATTTAATATTTTTAATGATAATGATGTTGAAATGATAAAACTTACCTGAAATTCACGGGTATAGGTGAGAATAAAAAAATCTAAAGCCATTGCAGCAATCCATTCGCTAATGGTGCTAATTACATGAGTATGATAACCACCATTTTCTGGTTGCCAATTTGTCGGATCTTTTCCATGAAAATTATGTATAGATATCTGGCCCATAACACAAGTAATTAAAAATGATATCGTAATGATCACAGACAATATTGTTCGACACCAAGCCATTCGTTTATTATTCACTAATGGTACCATACGAAAAGAAAGCCATGATTGTAACCAACAATACACTGAACCAAAACCAAACGACATTAAGGCACCAAGTAAATGAATTTTGAATAATTCAATTTCACGAAAATTTGCAACAACAGATAGGCCTATAGAAGATAAGATTCCAAAATATAATGCAAGACGATTTAGACGGAAAATTTTATTCGATGTCAATGTTAGATCATCACGATAATATTGTTCGACATGTTTAAAACGCATATAAATAGTAATGGCGACTATATTTTTTAAAAAAAAGGTTAAAAAAACTTCAATCAAATAATGGCGACACTAACCTAACGCTGCAACCATATTCAAAGCTTGAGCAAAAATATTCGATTCAGGAACGTGCGTCCCAGTATCACTAATATATGGAAATACTGGTTCGACATGACCTAAACAGATTGCGATGATATAACTATTATGGAAAAAAAACAAAGAAAATTTCGATCATTATTTGAATTTCCGAATAAAAATTTACATACGATATGATAAAAGTAAATGGAAGACAGACAAAAACGGCCAATGGTAAGAAATGAAGATTATCCCAAGACATGATTTAAAATATTTTCTATTGATTTTGGATTGATTTGAAAATAAAAATTATTGAGATCATCGATTCATTGTAATCATCAACGCCTTTTATTTGAACAAAAGTCTCAATATTATCATTGTTAACGATGAAATCAAACAATGCAAACTAAAATAACAAACAAATGCAACCAACAACAACAACAACAACAACAAACAGAATTGCGTATTGAAACAGACAAACAAAACGATGGGCGACTACTATCGATAAATGTCGGAAATTTTTTTTTTAAATTTTTTTGCTTTAATCAATTTCAATTTTAAATCAAATAAAAATTAACTTATTTATCGAAAAAAATGGATTGAAAATGACAAAATTGACGAAAAAAAAAAATCAATTACCAAAGATATGATATATTTTTCGAAATATTTGTCGATCGAACATGGATAGCTTTTAGAATTTCATCATGAACATCATCGATTGTTTTATTTGTTGTATCAATAATCTATTGAGATATAAGGAAAAAATAAAAGTGAAAATATAATGAATTCATTGCAAAATAATGAATGATAACACTTACATTCCAATAAGTTTTATCAATAAGTTTTTCATAAGCTTGATGTACAGATTTTTGAAATTCTTTTCGATCATAAATTTCTTGACCAAAATCTTCACGTTTACATGATTCATTGATATCGGTAGTCAAAAATAAAACACAATCAGGTTTGATTAGACCTTTTTCCGGTGAACAACACCAATCAAAATCTAAACCTTTAGCACTGGTATAGGCTACACCAGAATATGAATATCGATCAATAACTAATGTAGTACCGGCTTTTATCATTTCTATCATTTGATCAAATTTTTCCCATCGATTAGCAGTGAATAACAAATGAATAACATGATCATTTAATTTAGTTTGTCCACTTAAATATTGATTGATTAGATTTCCAGTCATTGTAGAACGATCGGGAAAACGAATTAATTCAGTATTTTTTCCTTGATTTCGTAATGATTGAACCAATTTTTGTGCTTGAGTTGTTTTGCCAACACGATCCAAACCTTCCAATACAATGATCATTCCTCTTTGCGATGACATTATGTTTAAACTTTGATTAAAAAACGAAAACTTTAAAGAAAAAAATTCTTGGATAACGAAAATCTGATTGACAATGCTTTTTTTCAAAATTTTAACGGAAAAAAACTTCTTTTATTGATATAAACAAAAAATAACAATGCCATCTATTAGAAGTTTTTTTTTGTAAAAAAAAAATTTTAATTTTTAAAAATATTATCCGCTGATGGTTCATCACATAATTCAAATGTTTTTTTCAGTGGATTATAACAAAAATGTTTTCCATCTTGAATCAATTGATTATTTGTAACACTTAATGTATTACGCATAGTTTGACAAAGATCTTCAACAAAATATTGGCCAGAAGTTTTTAATTTAAAATCTTGGATTTTTTCCGTTAAAAAACGTTCACTAATTCTTGCACCATTATCATCAACACAATAACAAATTTGTTCATTTGAACTACATTGTATTGGTTTAAAATTTCCTAGACCATTACAACGTAATATTCCTACTGGTAATTTACCATTTTTCGAAAGATATTCTTCCAATGCACAACGACAATCAATTTCTTGTGATAATTTTGAATCAGCTCTATATGGTGCAATTGGTATACCATCCGGATCATGACATGTACAAGCGGCTAATTATAAATTATAAAAAATGATTATTATTGATGATAATCATATTGTTTATAACTAAGAAGAAAAAACAAACCATCTGGACATTGAACACGATAATAATTATCATCAAAACCACATTTTGTATTAGTTAATCCTTCTAATGTTGTTCCTTTTTTATCAAAATGATAAATCATTTTACTTGAACGATGAACTTCGGTAAAACATTCTTCTTCATAACTTTTTTCAATTGGTTTTTCGGTTACTTTTTTCTTCTGTGTTTCTTCATCAACTGAAAATTCAAAAAACATTTATATTTTTTCAACTTTTTTCTTGAAAAAATAAATGATTTACTTACAACAAACCAACCTGTTGATTGCACCATAAGCAACGGCTGATTGCCAACGTATATATTTTGGTTGTTTAGGTTGATATAAAATTTTTGCCTTTTTCCTAGCCCAATCTATATTGATAATTTCTTTTGGATCCAAAATTGGTCGACCATATTTTTCATCCACACATAAACATGTATTATTTATACATTGTACTTCTTGAAAATTTCCAGAAAATTTACATTTCATATGTGTATCGGAATTAAATTTTGTTATAACTTTATCCAATTCAGTATCATGAACATCAGGATTCAGACGATTTATTGCTAATGATAATTTATCTTGCATTGTTTCTGAACATTTACATGTTTGATTTATACTACGATGCATATCGATTATACCGAATGTTGGTTTACCATCATTTGGATTTACACAATAAGCTCTTTATAATGAAAAAAAGGTAAATTTTTAATGTTAAATAATAATAAATTATATTTACTTATTTCTACTTGGTTGTTTTGGTGAATAATTTCCATCAAATGTACAATGTGGTAAAAATTGTTCATGTGCATATGGTATTGGAAAAAATGATTTGATTGCATTGTTTGAACTCATTATATAGAAATTTTTTCCTTGTCTAACTGACCAACGATTATGATATTCACGTAAACAAGGTGATTGTATTGATATTTGTTCAAGATTCGATAAACGACATTGTTTTGTTCGATGATCACATATCATTCCATTTTTACAACGTTCCAATTTATCATCTGATGACATTGATTCTGGTTCACATTGATCATTTTCATCTAATAATCGTACACAAGCTGGACAACATTTTCGGCCAACAATATTTTCAATTAATTCATAACCATCTGGACATGATTCTATTGTTGAACATTGAACATGTTCACAAAAATTATCCACCAATTTTTGGCCACATTTTTTTCGAAATTCTTTTTCATATTCAGAATCTTTTTCAAAATAATGTTTTTGAAAACATTGTGCTTCATCGATTTGTATTGGTGATACTGTTGTTGTTGCCGCAGTTGTTATCGTTGTTGATGTTGTTGTCGTTGTTGTTGTTGTTGTTGTTGTTGTTGTTGACGATGAACATTTCAAATTAATGAAAAACAATAACAAAAAAATCGATAAATAATAATGATTGGCTAGCATGATTATTATGTTGATGATTACATTGGAAAAAAAGGTAATCAGAATTGTTGATTGAATGTAGCGTATATCGATCAATTGATTCATTGATTGATTTGATGGGCCAAAAGAAATCTATCGATCGTCATCATTACCTTGGTGATTTTATGATTAAAAAATTTTAATCAGAAAAAATTGAGATGAAATACCCAAAGGAGATTAAAAGATTAATCCAATCAAAGATCCGTTTTAAAGTGATGACAAAGAAAAAAATAACTTTTTTTTTATTTTCTTTATTTCTCAACAACAAAAAAAGATTTATCAATTTTATACAAAATATATATTTTTCAACAATTTATTTTGGCTAAAAATAACAGAATATTTAACAATAATAATAATAAATTACAATTAAATTTGGCAAAAACATTTGGTAGATTTGATTTAGAATCGTTTTTTACTTCAATCAGGAAGAAAGGAAAAAAAGTTAAAATTAATTTTTTAAAAAATTTTTCAACATTTGAATAATACAATAATGACTTACATAAATTTTCAGTCATTTGACAATAAGGCATTGGTAAACGAAGTTGATTATATGTACGTAAATCAGCAACCGGTTGTGACATAAGATTAATTGGATCAGGTATCCATGTACCATTACGACAAATTAATACTGATGGTCCCATTAAATTAAAACCATCATGACAACTATAATTAACACGACTATTTTCACGTGGTGTTTGCCAACATGTTTTTTCACCAATCAATTGTTTGGTTCCTATTTCATTTAATTTAATGATGAAAAATTGTTTAAAAATTTGATCAAAAAAATTTCAGAAAAAAACTAACCATTATTGATTGATGGTGGTTGATCAATACAACCAGCATCACCAAATAGTTTATAATTAATACCCATACGCCATGATGTCATCAAAACTAATAAATGACAATGAAATGAAAGTTTCCCAGGATATTGTGTAAAATTTTCAGCCAAATAACGTCGTTGTATAGCAATTTCATATGTACCATTTGGTAAACGTTCAATCATATCGAATGTTTCACCAGCAAAATATTGATCAGTCAAACTATAGTGATGATATAGAAAAATCAAAATAATAATAAATCACAATTCAACAATCAAATAAACAAAACAGGAAGGACCATCAATAAGTGGATTGATCATTCAAGTTTAAGTAACAATAATAATAATACATACTCATTATGAATACTACAAGCTGGTGATGGTTTTGGATACATTCCAATACAATGAAAACTAATCTCTTCAACACAATTGACCATATCGGTTTTGGTTTTCCAATTTGAATCTTTACAAGCATCTTCCGTTTTGTTTTGTTTTATTGATATTGATTGGGGAGAGAAAGAGAAAACAGAAAAATGAATAAATGAAAAAAAAGAAAAAGAAATGGAGCGAGAAATTGGAATCAAACAACAGCAACAACGATAACGAAAATTTTTGTCTTTGAAATATCAAGAATTTGTCTCTATGTTTGGTCCAGAGGCATTTTTTACTAATGGTTATTGGTGGGGCAAAAACAAACGAAAACGGAAAAAAGTTTGCCTTTGGATGTTCGAAAGAAATCAAAAAAGAAAGAAGAATATTGTCTGTTTGTCTGTTATTTAAAGATGATTATTATGATGATGTTGAAAGAATGAAATAAAATTGTTGTAGACGTAAGCGAAATACGAATTTTTCACCATTTTATAGTCTTGAAAGTTTTTTTTTTGCCAAAACGACAAAAAATCGAAGAAAATATGCTTTTTGGAAAAAACTTTGTACGATTGTGAAAGAGAGACAGAGAGAAGAAAATATTAAATTTAAAGAATCGAATAAAGAATTTACGAAGAAAAAAAACTGGACAAAAATTTTTCTACATTGAATGAATTGAAGAAGAAAGTATAAAGTTTATCAAACAAACAGCAACGAGAGATAGATAAAGAAAAACATGTAAAGTGCATGTTTTTTTGTTGAATTTCATCGAAAACTCCGTCATAAATCAAATATTTGAAAAGAAAAAAACAAAATATTTGATCAAAAACATTGTCAGAATTTCATTTCTTCATCATCATCCACTTCCAGACCAAAAACCAAACCAATCAATTCATGATGATGATCAACCGACCAATCAAACAAAAAAATACATTCGTGATCGTGTATGATGAATATAAATCCCTTGTCATTCCGAATATAATATGTTTCGGATCTGGATCAAATTTCATTCTTTTCTGTCCTGAACATTACATTTGTGACATATGCAAAACAATGAATGAATGAAATTATTCATATCATCATCATCATGAGAATGACAAAGAGAATAAAAAATTAAAGATGGAAAAAATTAATCTAATCTAATGAATCTTCTTTTAAATATTGAATGAAATGTAAATGAATGGAGAAAACCAAAAATGTAATAACATTTTGGTTTTCGGTTTGCTGTTTGTTTGTTTGTTGATGTTTGACAAGATGAATCATGTTTCATGTGAAAATGATATGACAAACAACAACAATAACAACAGCGAAAAAAATTCCTGATTGTTGTCAGTTTTGTTTTTCCTGTTTGCTGTTGTTGTTGAATAATGATCGTTGTTGTTGTCTTGATTCCATAGATTTTTGTGTATAGAAAAATGCAATTTTTTCAGTTGTTTTTTGACATTATAATTACCAACAATAACAATCATTTGTGCAGAATTTTCCGATTCATTATATTCGGTTATAACACGACAAGAATATTGACCAGCAAAATTTAAATCAATATTAAATAATGTAACAGTGTTGAGTAGATCTTTTGTATTATAATCAACATGATTACGAAATAATGATAATGCTATTGGACGTTTGTTTGGTGTTGAGAAAAATACCTGGTTTTATTGAAAAAGAAAAGAAAAGGGAAAAATTTTGATATTTATTCTCGGAATTTCAGAAAATTTGAACCGAATCACTTACCTCATGACCATCTTTTTTCCAATTAACAGCCAATACTCTTTCATATGATTTTGTAAACATATAATGACAGGATAATTGTACACTTTCACCAGCAATCACATAATCAGTACGTCCACTTTTTATTGACATGATATGTACTTCGGTTACTGTTATTGTCCAAATTGTTTTGATTAGACAAAATATTAATAGTATTCCTATGGATAGAAAAATAAAGGAAAAAAATAGCAAAACAAAATGAATGAAAAACATATGATGATCATATCAATACCAAACCAAACCAAAGAAAAATAGGAATTTGATTTGGGAAAAAAAACAAAACAGACATGGCTATAATGGATGTGTCTGGTGTGTGTAATATATATCTTGGTGGTGCTGGTTTTTTCTTTTGGATAAAATGAAAAATTTGTACCGAAAAAAAATCACTTAGATTGAATTATTATGCCAGTTTGTTTGGGTCCACAAACATTCTCGATATTTTTTTGTGGGAATTTCTTGTTGTTGTTGTTGTTTTCCTATCTCATTTGGTGAACCAATTTTTTTTTGTTGTTGTTGGTGAATTTGGTCTAATCAAGTTAATATATTTTGTAAATCGAATGTTTGTATTCCATTGATTGTTTGGACAAACCAGAAAAAGAAATGCCCGAGAAAACAGAAAACCTATACTGCTAAAACAAAAACAAAAAAAAGTTTGCGCCAATGAATTTGTCAAATCGATCAATGCGATTCTCTTTTGGTCATTTTCTTGGTTTTTATAAACATATAATACATTTGATAATGAGACCCACAAACAAACCAGAAAAAACAGCAACAACAAAAAATATGAGAATCGAAAATATTTTTTCAAACAAATCAACAAATTCTTCTTCTTCTTCCCATTTAATCATGTTCATTTGATTGGAAAACCAAAGAAAAACAAAAAAACAAAAAACATTATCCACCGAAACACAGACACAGACAAAAATTACAACAAAAACAGAACAAATATGGATTCTTTTTTTTAGTTTTTTGTTGTCTTTGTATCGATGAAAGATGTTTTCTTCTATGTGGTTTTTGTTGTTTACAATCATCATTATGATGATAAAAAAACCGAAATGTTTTTTTTTGTTTGAATTTTTATCCGAATTTATTGAACAGTCTGGGATCGGTCAAGAAGACAAACACGAAAAAAATTAAATTAAAAGATCACATTCTAATCACACACAAAAGAGGATTATTGGGTCTATGTTTTGTTCAAATCCTGTGTATGTTTGATACAGCAAAAGAAAAAGTCTTTTCAACAGAATTGACACAGGATGCATATAAATTTCATTCATTTAAAATGAATAGAAAATTATAATGGAAAAAAAATTATAAATTAAATTTTGTTTTTTACTTTATTCCTATTATAATCATTTTTTGTTTTTTTTTCAATTGATGAAACATAATAGAATCAAACAGAATGAGATGTATGTGTGTGTGTGTATGCGGGTATTTTGCTATGCATAATTTATTTTTCATTTCATTCAATTTTTTCCTGCTTGCTTGCCTGCCTGCATGTCTTGATACCATTATCATCTTGTCATTATCATCGCATATATCACATCACATTTAGATGAGATGATACTTATCTTTGGTTGTTTCCGTTGTGATAGTTTTTTTTTGTTCTGTTTTTGTTTGGTTGAATGAATATTCGTTTTTCAATGAAAAAAAATTAAAAATGTTTTTTTTTCTTTTCTTATTGTTCTCGATGTATAATGGGAAAATTTCTTTCCAGAAGAAAATTATGAAACGGGAAAAAGGGGTACACACCATTAAGGCAAAAACCGTTAAAGACAAAACAAAAAATTAGGTCAGTAAATTTCGAAGAGTTCGATAGTAAACAACAACAAACAGACAAAAGAACAGCAAAAAAAACCAACGAAAGAATCGATATTGAATGAATAATGATAAGTCGATTTTTGTTGGCATCTTGGGATTATTATTTATTTTTATTATTTTCTGTTTCATCGTTTTCTTTTCATTGAAACATGACCAAATTATCGACGAATCGAAACGGTAAGAAATGGCTTTTTGTTGTTGTTGTTTCTGGATCAAGAAAAAAATCTCGAAAAAAGAAAAAATCATATTAATCATATTACATACAACCACGCACACACACATTGAGTAAAAGTAATGTTTTTCTTTATCAATAATTTTATTTTTTCTTTATCAAACTTTAGCTTAGTTTTTGCTTTATAGATTTGACCAAATGATGACTAAATGATGATGAAAAGCTGACTATACAAACGTACACACAAACACACACATCACATCACATGATCACATAAAAGATTTTTAATAATTTATCATCATCATGAATTGGAAGGAAGAGAGAAAGGGGCAGAAGCAAAACAATTCTGCTATAATTATATATTAATCATTTTATGGGATCCACATGAGAGAAAGAGATACATGTGTGTTCCTGGATCAAAATAGTCTAAATTGAAGCAGAAAAAGGGAAAATTCATGAAAAACCGAAATAGTTTTTACTCTTTTTTAAAAAAACAGATAAAAATGAAATGAAAGAATTTGTAAACATAATTTAAAATTTCTAATTAGAGAAACATTTACAGAAAGAGAGATCTGTTAATTGTGTGTTTATGTGTGTCGAAATGGAAACAATTTTGATTGATCATTTTAAATGTTTTCAGTTTGGTTCTATAATAATAATAATAAAAAAAGGTTAGAATAATGATGAAGGAGATTAGATCATTTTTCTATTTTAACCATACATGTCGTCAGTTGGAATCAGTTGTAGATAATAATAATAAAATTATATACAATTAATCATATGTAGAGCTTGTAAAAAAAATATAGGCCAGTTTCTCTACAATTTTCGGGTTTCTATTTTTATTTTATTATCATTTTCGTTTTTCGTTTTTCATTTTCATTTGCCACAAATAATTAATTTAAACATCCAACAACAACAACAACAACAAGACCATAGGGACATCAAATTATTTCTGCAGAATGTGTGTATGTGCGTGTGTGCATCATAGATACCGATTGAGAGAATTATATTTAAAAAAGAAGAATTTTTTTGGTTGTAAATTTAGAACCATCATCATCATTTATTTAAATGTTAATCTATACAACAACAACAAAAATGTCTTTAGGGTAGATATAGTTTTTGGTGAAAATTTTTTTTTATCATTTCCAGGCTTTAAAAAGCATTTCATTTCTAAAAATCATTGTTCGTTCATCGATAGATCCGAAAGTTCAGATCTTCATTTTCATTCGATGTAATGTCTATATTCGATAATAACAAACAGAAACAGAACAAGAATTGAAAATGGAAACATTTTGTTTGTCGTTTTGTTTTGCTTCCATTAGCCAGAAACAAAAAGCAAAAACAAAAGCAAAACAATAAATATAATTAACATTCAATTAAAATGAAATTTTCTTTTAGTTTCATTGTCATATATTGACATAAATGGAATAAATTTTTCGTAAATGTTCAATTGTGTGTGTGTATGGTACTTCAATCTGTTTTTCAATCTTTGATTGAATTTGATGTTTGTTTGTGTTTCAGAAAATAAAGATAGCGAGACTAATGACAATTAGAAATG